CCCCACCCTCCTACCCCCCCCTCCCTCCCCCGCCCTCCCACCCCTCCTACCCCCACCCTCCCCGCCCTCCTACCCCCCCCTCCCGCCCTCCCCACCCCCCCCTCCCCGCCCTCCTACCCCCACCCTCCCTGCCCTCCTACCCCCACCCTCCCCGCCCTCCTACCCCCACCCTCCCTGCCCTCCTACCCCCACCCTCCCTGCCCTCCTACCCCCACCCGCTCTGTCTCTCTCTCTCTCTATCTCTGTGTCTCTCTCGCTCTGTCTCTCTCTCTCTGTCTCTCCCTCTCTGTCTCTCTCTCTCTCTATCTCTCTGTCTCTCTCGCTCTGTCTCTCCCTCTCTGTCTCTCTCTCTTGCTCTCTCTCTCTGTCTCTCTCTATCTCTCACTCTCACTCTCTCTCTCACTTCCAGCTAAAGTTGCTCAGCAGAAGTTTGATGCCACCCTGATGCACGCAGTGCCAGCGATGGCAGCTCAGGACAGGATGGTGGATGACGGCAGTGGCCAAACTGAGGTACAGTCCATCATCAGGAGATCCACAAAGTCATTGTGGTTTTTATTGCCCTCAACGTCCACCGACCGACAACACAACCGAAACACGTGGAACCGGTATCTTAATCAGAAACATTTTGTTGCATTCAGTCCAAGTGTCTGATTGTGTCTACACGACAGTGTGTGTGAGTGAGTGTGAGTGTGTGAGTGAGTGTGTGAGAGTGAGTGGGTGTGTGAGTGAGTGTGTGTGAGTGAGTGTGAGCGAGTGTGAGTGTGAGTGTATGTGAGTGTGTGTGAATGAGCGTGTTAGTGTGTGAGTGTGTGAGCGAGTGTGTGAGTGTGAGTGAGTGTGAGTGAGTGGTAAGATTTCACCACAGATTCCATGTGCTAATTATGCCATCGTACTCCATTACGAAATGTGCCAAATTCTCCAATTTTGTTTCATTTCCCTGACACTAAAACCAGACGACACGGCCTGAGATCGAAGGGGGGGAGGGGGTAAATTCAGAACAAACCTGGGGTAACACTACACCAGTGAGTGAGTGAGCAGCAAACGTAAGGAACAGGAGCCCCAGGGAGGGAGAGAGAGAGGAGAGAGAGAGAGCGTGGGAGAAAGTGCTGATTCTTTCAAGAGCAAATGAATGGGACTGGTTGGGGTGAGAGCGGGGGAGTGGGACTAGTTGGGGTGAGAGCGGGGGAGTGGGACTAGTGAGAGGGGGAGTGGGACTAGTTGGGTGAGAGCGGGGGAGTGGGACTAGTTGGGGTGAGAGCGGGGGAGTGGGACTAGTTGGGGTGAGAGCGGGGGAGTGGGACTAGTTGGGGTGAGAGCGGGGGAGTGGGACTAGTTGGGGTGAGAGCGGGGGAGTGGGACTAGTTGGGGTGAGAGCAGGGAGTGGGGCCAGTTGGTGGCTGTTGATCACCAGGCGGCACAGGCCCGAATGGCCTCCTGCTGTGCTGTGCTGTGATGTTCTGGGATTGTGGGGGTTACGGTGGACTTTCTCTCTCAGGTTTGGAGGATTGAGAACCTGGAGCTGACGCCGGTGGAGCCCGAGAAGTGCGGCTTTTTCTACGGAGGCGACTGTTACCTGGTCCTGTACACGTACCTGGTCAACAGGAGGGAGCGCTTCATCCTGTACATCTGGCAGGTGGGTGTGTGGCGTGTGGGGCACCTGGGAGCCAAGCCACCCCTGTGTGGTGGAGACCCTGTAGCTCAGGGGTTAGACCCTTCGCCTCGTAAGCCAGAGGACCCGGGTTCGATTCCCGGCCGGGTCAGTTCAGGGCGAAACCTTGGGCAAGGTTCCTTACCCCCCACTCCGCACCCCACTCCGCACCCCACCCCCCCCCCCCCCCACACACACACCCCCCTCAGTCCACGGCTGTTTGTGGGGACGCTGCTTTGTGCAATTGGCTGCCGCGTTTCACCCAAAAAATACGGTCACTACACTTTACAATATATCCCATGAAGCAACTCAATGGTGTGATGTATCAAATGGCATTATTATTATTATGATTATGATTATTATTATCCTCGCAGTTTTGTGGGGTTTTCACACGGGGGCGGGGGTGAGACCCAAAGCATTTCACGGGGTTTCCTTTTTACTGTGGAGTGTAGTGACTGTGTGTTTTGTGGGAGAAACGGGGCAATCAGCTTGGAATCATGGGGTGGATTGTATTGAGAAGCTCGGTTTTCTTTCTCCCTCCTTCCCCCCTCCCCCTTCTTTCCCCCTCTTCCCCGCTTCTTTCCTCCCCCTTTCCCCCCCCTCTTCCCCCCTCTCCACGCCCCCTTCCCCCCTTCCCTCCCCCCCAGGGCCGGCACGCCACCCAAGACGAGGTGACGGCCTCAGCGTTGCAGGCGGTGAGGGTGGACGGGGAGCACCGGGGGGAGCCGGTGCAGGTCAGGGTCACTATGGGCCGAGAACCGAAGCACTTCATGGCCATCTTCAAGGGGAAGATAATCATCTTCGAGGTAAAGTGACTGACACTATGTGCGGGAAGTTACACCACCACAACAACAACAACACCACAACAACAACACCATCATCACCACAACAACAACAACACCACCAACCACCACCACAACAACAACAACACTACCACCACCACAACAACAACAACACCACCACCACAACACCCCCAACCACCACCATAACACCACCACCACAACAACAACAACACTATCACCACAACAACACCATCACCACACAACAACAACAACACCATCACCACAACACCAACCACAACACCACCACCAACACAACAACAACAACACCACAACATAACATAACATGTAGGAGCAGGAGTAGGTCATTCAGTCCTTCGAGCCTGCCCCGCCATTCAATCATGGCTGATCTTCTCATCTAACTCCAGCTAATAACCTGACGCTGCCTTATCCCCATATCCCTTAATCCCTTTTGCAATAAGAAATCTATCTCTCTCAGTCTTGAATATGTTCAAGGACTGAGCGTCAACAGCCCTTTGGGGTAGTGAGTTCCATACATTCACCGCCGTTTGAGTGAGGAAGTTCTTCCTCAACTCAGTGCGAAAGGGCTGCCTCTAATTTTAAGGTTGTGACCCCTGGTTTTAGTTACCCCTCATCTCCCACTATCTACTCTATCATTGCCCTTTGATGATCTTATAGGTTTCTATAAGATCCCCTCTAATTCTTCTGTATTCTAGAGAATATACGCCCAACTTGGTCAGCCTATCCTCGTAACTCACCCCTTCATCCCTGGTCACTAACCTAGTAAATCTACGCTGCACCCCCTCCAAGGCAAGTACATCCTTCCTTAAATAAGGAGACCAAAACTGCACACAGTATTCCAGGTGTGGTCTCACCAGGGCCCTATACAGTTGCAGCAAGACTTCCCTACTCTTATACTCTAATCCTTTCATAATGAATGCTAACATACCGTTCGCCTTCCTAATTGCTGCTGCACCTGCAGACTAACTTTCTGTGATTGGTGTACAAGGACACCCAAGTCCCTCTGGACGCTAACACATTCCAATCTCTCCCCTTCTAAAAAATAACCCGCTCTACTGTTTTTGCTCCGGTGGATGACTTCGCACTTCCCTACATTATACTTCATCTGCCACCTACCTGCCCAACACCTAACCTATCTACGTCTCGCTGCATTTTTTAATGTCGTCCTCTGTGTTGACACTTCCTCCTAGTTTTGTGTCATCTGCGAATTTAGATATATTAACTTCGATGTCCTCATCTACATCGTTGATGTAGATGGTAAATAGCTGAGGCCCAAGGACTGGTCCTTGTGGCACTCCACTAGTCACATCCCGCCAATCCGGAAAGGACCCGTTTATCCCTACTCTTTGTTTCCTACCCGTTAACCATTCCCCACGTTAATATGCTCCCCCCAATTCCATGGGCCCTTATCTTTTGGACTAACCTTTTATGCGGCACCTTATCGAATGCCTTCTGGAAGTCCAAATAGACCACATCCACTGATTCACGCTTATCGAGTTTACTGGAAATATCCTCAAAAATCTCTTATGAGATTTGTCAAACGTGACTTCCCTTTTGTAAAGCCGTGTTGACTTGGGCCTAATTATATTGTGCCCTAAATACCGCATTACCACATTCTTAATAATAATAATAATCCTTGCATTTGATATAGCGCTTTTCACGTCGGGAGGACGTCCCAAAGCGCTTCACAGAACACACTATAAAGTGAATTGACTGTATATTTGTGGGCGAACGCGGCAGCCAATTGCGCACAGCAATGTCCCACAAACAGTCGTAGATTGAAAATGACCAATTTATTATTGTTTTGTTTTGGAGGGATTATTATTAGGCTCTGTGTGGAGTAAGCAAACTTGCCCAAGGTTTCGCCCTCTGCCTGGAATTGAACTCGGGTCTCTCACTTGCAAAGCGAGTGCTCTAACCACTGAGCTACAGGACTCCACTTAATCAACGATTCTAAATTTTTCCCATCACTGATGTGAGACTAACTGCCTATAGTTCCCCATCTTTTCCTTTCCATCTTTTTTAAATAGTGGTGTGACATTTGCGATCTTCCAATCCATGGGCACTGTTCCAGAATCCAAGGAATTTTGGAAGATCAGACACAAGGCCTCCACTAACTCATAAGCTCCTCTTTTAAAACCCTGGGATGCAAACCATCCGGACCGGGGATTTGTCACTTTTTAATGCTAACGGTTTCCCGGCACCAATTCTCTACTGATGAAAATTTCCCTAAGTTGCTCCGTGTCCTTATCCCTTTGGTGCATCTCTATTGTTGGCAGACTTGTGTCTTCAACAGCCACAACAACAACAACAGCCACAACAATAACAACAACATCCACAACAATAACCACAACAACCACAACAATGCCAACAACAATGCCAACAACAACAACAATAACTACAACACAACAACCACAACTTGCACTTATATAGCGCCCTCCACCCAGGGTAGAGTCTCAGAGCTCAACAGTGGTGGAGCCTGACTGAGCCGGGGCCGGTCCTGGGGTCGGGGTGGGGGGGGGGGGGGGGGAGAGGTGTCCATAAGCACGAGTTAAGAGGAAGGTTTTCAGGCGGGATTTGAAAAAGAGCAGCGAGGGCCAAGGCGGAGGGATTGAGGGAGAGCGTTCCAGAGGTTTGGGGTGCAACGGCTGAAAGCGCAACCATAACTGACTCCCCCGAATCTTTTGACCCAAGATTCCACCCCTGGGGGAGGAGAAGGGGAAGGGGTGGGGGGTTGGGGGTTGTGAATGGAAAGCGAACTGGATGGACCTCTGTCTTTTTTTTGGTCCAACATTTTCTTAAGTTCTTACTTCATGTTCTTAACGTGTGTTTCGCATGGTCAGGGCGGCTCGTCAAGGAGGGGGAGCACTCAGCCCGAGCCCCCAGTGAGGCTGGTTCAGGTTCACGGTTCAGAGACGTTCAACACCAAAGCCATCGAGGTCGCAGCCTACAGCTCGTCCCTCAACTCCAACGATGTCTTCCTCCTGAAGACCGAGAGCAGCTGCTATCTGTGGTGTGGGAAGGTACAGGATTCTACCCCTAAAAGCACCCCTGGCCCCAGTCCTCGCCAGGCCCCCGGCAAATACATTTCTAGGTCACCTACAAATCCCTTCACACCCAACAACAACAACAACACATTGTGTTTACACAGCACCTTTCACATCGGGAGGAAGCCCCAATTGCCAGAGCACAGTCCAGTGTTTGTAAATGGGTTGCGGGCTAGAGTCAAGAGGGTGGAGGGCAGGGAAGGAGGGGGTGGGAAGATGACCAAAGGTGTGGTCAAAGAGGAAGGTCTTGAGACGGTCCTTGAAGGAGGCAAGGACGAGAGCGAGGTAGAGGGACTGCGGGATGGAGTTCCAGACAGGCTAAAGGCTCAACCTCCGATGGTGGAGCGGGCAGAGTGGGGGCACGTGGACTTAGCTTCCTAACCACTCTGATCTCCTCCTACCCCACTCCTCCGCTCGGCAAACCGCGGTTCACCCACAAAATACACAGTCACTTCACTTTACAGTGTATCCTGTGAAGCACTTTGACGACGACGTGATCAGGCGCTGTGGCAAATGTGAGGATTATTATTTTTTATGATCATCGAATACCAGGATTGTTAATCACTGATGTGTATGGTTGGGGTTTGCCTCTGTTCCCCACCACCCCCACCCCCCGCAGGGATCCAGTGGGGATGAACGGGAAATGGCGAAAGAAGTTGCGGGAATCATCCCGGAAGGAGAACCCATCATCGTGGCCGAGGGACAAGAACCGGCAAAATTCTGGGAAGCTCTGGGCGGCAAAGCTCCCTACGCCAGTGACAAAAAGTAATTCCAAACCAGAAACTCCTCACCCAACCTTTCTCTCCCCTCCCCAATTCTCTCTCTCTACCCCTCCTCGCTCTCTCTCTCTCTCCCCCCTTCTCGCTCTCTCTCTCTCTCTCCCTCCTCACTCTCTCGCTCTACTTTATGGTAATCCCGTAGCTCAGTGGTTAGAGTCCTCGCCTCCCAAGCGAGAGGACCCAGGTTCGCTTGCCGGGCAAAGCAAAACCTTAGGCAAGTTTCCTTACTCCATGCACTTGGCTGCTGCGTTTTGCCCACAAAATATACAGTCACTACACTTTACAGTATATTCTGTGAAGCGCTTTGAGACATCTCGAAGACGTGATAAGGCGCTGTGTCAAATGCGGGGATTATTATTATTATTATTTTATACTGACAGATCAATGTCTCTTTATTTTGGGATTCTACAGCACAGAAACCGGCCACTTGGCCCAACCAGTCTGTGCCGGTGTTTGTACACTCCTCCAGTCACCTCACACTCCCTCCCTCTCTCCCCTCCCATTCCCTTTCTCCCTCGTCCTGTGTGTGTCTCTGACTTCCTCTGAAATGTATCTGCGCTCTCTGCTTCCACCATCGCTTCGGGCAGTGAGTTCCGTAATAAAATCCCGTTCTCATTCTTTTGCCAATTAGCTCAGAGAATTGTGTCTCTCTCTCTCTCCCCCCTCCCTCGCCTTCTTCAAGGCCCTCCTCTTCGCCCGCGCCTTCGGTCAACATCCTACCCCCACTCTCCTACCCCCACCCTCCCTGCCCTCCACCCCTTCTGATCCCAACCCTACCGCAACTTAGGTCCAAGTCCCTGACTGCCCAGTGGCTTGGGCTGTTGTGTAGGTGTAATTGTGTGTTGTGTTGCGATCATTTGGTCCGGTTCTGTGCACATGGCTGACGGTGTCTCGCTTTTCCAGGTTGCAGCAGGAGGTCCCGGATTACCCTCCTCGGCTGTTCGAGTGCTCGGCCAACACCGGCAGGTTCATCGTCACCGAAGTCACCAGCTTCACACAGGAGGACCTGAGTGAGGGAGATGTGATGCTCCTCGACACCTGGGACCAGGTAGATCATAGAAACATACGAGCTTACAGCTCAAAACGAGGCCATTCGGCCCATCGAGCCTGTGCCGGTTCTTTGAAAGAGCCAGCAACTAGTCCCCGCTCCCCCCGTTCTTACCCCAACTGGTCCCCGCTCCCCCCGTTCTTACCCCAACTGGTCCCCGCTCCCCCCATTCTTCCCCCAACTGGTCCCCGCTCCCCCCATTCTTACCCCAACTAGTCCCACTTGCCCACTCTTACACCAACTAGCCCCACTCCCTCACTTTTACCCCAACGTGAAAAGCACTGTATCAAATGCAAGGATTATTATTATATTTTTGTGGGCAAAACACAGCAACCAATCAGCAGCGCACCACAAACAGTCGTGGATTGAGTCTTTGTCAGAACCTTTTCCTGTGATCTTGTGATGTCTACATTTGCAGAAGGTGTTGATTTTTTTCTCCCCCCCCACCCAGATATTTTTGTGGATCGGGAAAGATGCGAATAAGACAGAGAGGCAAGAATCGCTGTCCACAGCCCAGAAATACCTTATTACACACCCCAGTGGTCGGGATGTGGACACCCCCATAATCATCATCAAACAGGGCTTTGAACCTCCAACATTCACAGGCTGGTTCGTGGCTTGGGACATCAGCAAATGGAGCGTGAGTAACTGCGATGGTCAAACTCTGCCACGGCCAACATTCCTAAGTCCTGGAGCTCAGTGGTTAGAGCCCTCGCCTCACAAGCGAGAAACCTAGGTTCGATTCCCGGACAGGACGAAACATTGGGCAAGCCTCCTTACTCCACACACGTGCCTCTGTTTACCTGGCAGTAAGTAGGAACCCGGTTGTTAATTGATTGGCGGATCACTTTTCCGGGGGTAATAATTGCTTCAAAAAAATATTTTGGGTCACTCAATCCACGGCTGTTTGTGGGGGCACTGCTGTGCATGATTGGCTGCCGCATTTTGCCCACAAAGTAAATACACAGTCAATTCATGTCACAGTATACTCTGTGAAGCGCTTGGAGACGTGTCAACGACATGACAAGGGCTGTATCAAATGCAAGGATTATTATTATTTACCTGTCATTTCCTCGCACTCCTGGAGGAGAGGACTCCTTTCTATAAACCGATCTAATAATAATCCCTGCATCCTGTTTGTCCCTATTTGCTAACTATCTTACATTGATGCCCTGTAGTCACTGACTCACTGACTGTATCACAGGCAAGTGTCAGAAAGATCTTCACAAAGTTCTTCACACGGGATAGCATTGTTGTTGTTAGGCATTTGTAGGCAAATGTGGCGGCCGATAAAACCCGTAGACAGACACGAACCGTGTTTTGTTTTACGCAGGGAGGGAAACCGTACGAACAGCTGAAGAATGAACATAGAGACACTGCGATCATCACCCAGATCACAGCCGTGAGTACTGACCCACTCAGGCCACAGACACACACATTGGCTCACGGCTTCTGCACACAGAAGGTGGGCAGACACCCGAGGGAGATGGAGGGAAAGCGGGAGAAACCAGGGTTAACATAGCGTAAGAACCCACTCAGTGGCACGAAAGGACCTTCTACTCGTCCCTCATGCCCTCGGTTCCACCATCGGTGGCCGCACTTTCAGCCACTATGCCCCAAAACTCTGGTTCTCTCTTCCTGTATACACTCATCTTGCCACCTCCCTCCCCACCTTCAGGTCACGCACCTGAAGACCTTCCTTTCGACCAGTGCCTACGGTCACCTCCCCCCTCCAGCTCAGTGTGGTGCTCTGCCACTGTCAAGGGCGGGGAGGGTAGGGGTAGGAGGGTGACCAAAGGCACGGTCAAAGAGGAGGGTCTTCAGGTGGGTCTTGAAGGAGGCAAGGGAGGGGGTGAGGCGGAGGGTCTGTGGGATGACGTTCTAGAGGTTGGGGGCAGAGAGCCTGAAGACCATTGGACAGATGTTTTGTGTGTGGAAGGGTTTAAGTTGTTGCTCATGTCACACTGGTATCTCGTTGCTCTAGGACCTGAACAGGGGAAATTCTAAAATCGAGCTCAGCCTGTGCCAGACTTTCTCGCTCGCGATGCTGATCAACAAACAGCCGTACCAGCTGCCCCAGGGCGTGAACAGAGCCAGGAAAGAGGTTAGTGCTGATCTCTCTCTGCGAGCGAAACTCTCAAGGTCTGTGAGCGGCGGCAGGACAGTGCGGGGAGGAGCCCTACTGACCCAGGTACTTAAACTCGACGCCGGAGCGAGTTCAGCCCCGGGGGGGGGGGGGGGGGGGGCGGAGCGGGGGAACTGCGACGTCATAGATTAGTTTTCAGGTAGTGCGCGCGCACAAAAAAAAAAAACCCTGCGCCCCCCCCCCCCCCAGGGCTCACATCAGAGCCCACTATGGTCCTGTTGGGTTCGCTGCCCCAATCTACGGGATAATGCCATCCACCTGACCGCTCGCTCCCGGTCCCCGCGTGCGCACTATGGCTGCCGCTTTGACCCGAGCCCCCTCACCCCCTCCCTCCCTCCCCCCTCCTCTCTCCCCCAAACCCTCCCCCTCTGCATCTCTCCCGCTCTCTCCTCCTCTCTCTCCGTCCCTCTCGTCTTCTATCCCCACTTGACCCCCCACCCCCTCCCTCTGCTCCAGTCTGGGAATCCTCCGCCGGGCTCACCGCGGCACTCGGCGTTGGCTGTCCAGCAGCAGCCACACCGACTGCCCCATTCCCCACCACACTCGCCACCCACCCCGGACACAGACCCGGGGAGTCAACCTCTCCTCCCTCATCCCATCCCCCCCACCCCTGCCTCACAACCTGGACCCCCCTCCCCTCCCACACACCCTTCTGTCAACCGCTCCCTCCACATCGGACTGCAAAATGTCCGCTCCCTCTGCAACAAGGCCCTGGTCATCAACGATCTCATCCTTGATGAGAACGTTGATATCATGGCCTTAACAGAAACCTGGCTCACCCCAGGCGACACCTTCCCCCTCACGGAGGCCACGCCACCCGGCTACACCTCCCACCACATCCCCCGCCCCAACCGCCGTGGCGGTGGTGTTGCCCTTATCTCAAGGACACCACTTGCCCTATCCCCCTACTCCTCTGGCTCTTTCCCCTCCTTTGAGCACCTCACCCTCTCCCACCCCTCATTCCTCTCCCTTAAAATCCTCCTCCTCTACCGGCCCCCTAAAACCTCTCCCACCTTCATCTCTGACATTTCAACACTCCTCACATCTCTTTGCCTCTGCTCCGATCGCCTCATCATCCTGGGCGACTTTAACCTACACTTCACCCCCTCCTGCTCCATCTCCACAGACTTCTCTTCCCTGCTCTCCTCACTCAACCTCTCCTTACACATAAACTCCCCCACTCACAGTCACGGCCACCCACTCGATTTGGTGATCACCCGGGGCCTCAGTGTCTCGGATGTCACTATTACCGACAAGGCCATCTCTGACCACTACTTCATCTCCTTCACCACCTCCACCCCCTCCCCACCTCCACCAGACCCACCACCATCTTCTACCGCCCTTGGAAGAAGTTACCCCCACAATCCCTAACCGATGCCTTGGAGTCCTCTGAACTCCTCTCCCTCTGGCCTTCAACCCTCACCGACCCCTCTTCTCCTCTCTCCCTCCTCCACAATACCCTCTCCTCCACACTCGATACTCTTGCCCCCATCACTTCCCGCACTGTCTCCTACTCCCGCTCCTCCCCCTGGTACACCACCCACCTCCGCTCACTGAAAAGCCAGGTGCGGGCTGCTGAACGCACCTGTGTCAAATCTGGCCTAACGGTCCACCGACAAATCTGGCTGGACCTCCTCAAAATTTACCGCTCCACTCTAGCCTCGGCCAAGTCGTCCTTCTACTCCAGGATAATCCTGGAGGCGAAGAACAACCCCAGGCTACTGTTTTCCACCACATCCCGACTCCTCCGTCCCCCCGCCACCCCGCGCAGGTCATCTCCTCCAACCTTCACTGCGAGGAGATGCTGGATTTCCTTGAATCCAAGATCAAGGGAATCCGCTCCGCGGTCACTTCCCCTCCAACTTCCACCCACCACCCACCCCTTCCCTCCCACACTCCGACTCCTACCCATCCTCCCCTACACACCTTCGTACCCGTTTCCCCACCCTCTGTCACTGAACTCATCCTATCCCTAAAACCAACCACCTGCTCCCTTGACCCCATCCCCACTCCACTCCTTATCTCCCAGCTCCACTTTCTTGCCCCACATATCACTGACATCATCAACCTGTCCCTCTCCTCTGGCTCTGTCCCCATTCCATTAAAAACTGCCATCATCACGCCCACCCTGAAAAAACCCTCCCTTGATGCGTCGCAGCTATCAAGCTACCGGCCCATCTCCAACCTCCCCTTTCTCTCCAAGGTCTTGGAAAGAGTTGTCGCCTCCCAACTGCGCTCTTTCCTTTCCACCCATTCTCTTTTCGAACCCCTTCAGTCAGGTTTCCGTGCTGCCCATAGCACAGAAACTGCCCTGGTCAAGGTCACCAATGATATCCTGACCATCTGTGACCAGGGCTCCCTCTGTCTCCTCGTCCTCCTCGACCTATCGGCAGCATTCGATACGGTCGACCACGCTATCCTACTCCACCGCTTGTCCTCCCACCTCAACCTTCAAGGCACTGTCCTTGAATGGTTTAGGTCGTACCTTTCTCACCGTCTTCACTTTGTCTCGACGAATGGCTTCTCCTCCACCCCCCGCACTGTCTCATGTGGTGTCCCTCAGGGCTCTGTCCTCGGTCCCCTCCTCTTCACCCTCTATATGCTCCCCCTTGGTGACATCATCCGCAGACATGGGTTAACTTCCACATGTATGCGGATGACACCCAACTCTACCTTTCCTCCTCTACTCTCAACTCCACGACCACCGATGTCCTGACAGCTGCCTGTCCGACATCGAGTCCTGGACGAGAGACAACTTTCTTCAGCTCAACGTGCGAAAAACCGAGGCCCTCCTGATTGGCTCACGTCAGCGCCTCCGCACCTCAGGCGCTGACACCATCAGCATCCAAGGCTGCACTCTCCACCTCTCAAAGCCAGTCAGGAACCTCGGCGTTTTGTTCGACCCTGAGCTGTCCTTTCTCCCTCACATCCGCACCACAACTGGCACCGCCTTCCATCACCTCCGGAACATCGCCAGACTACGGCACTACCTCACCCCTCACGCTGCTGAAACCCTGGTTCACGCCTTTGTCACCTCAAGGCTGGACTATGGGAACTCTCTCCTCGCCGGCCTTCCCGCCACCTCCCTCCACAAGCTGCAGGTCATTCAGAACTCTGCAGCTCGTGTACTGTCCCGCACCAGGCTTCGGGACCACATCACTCCCACCCTCGCTCGCCTCCACTGGCTCCCCATCCCCCAGAGGATTGATTTCAAGATCCTCATCCTCACCTACAAGGCCATTCACGGCCTTGCTCCCTCCTACCTCTCCAACCTACTATCCCCCTACCTGCCCGTACCCTCCGTTCCTCTGGCTCCGGTCTGCTCCACGTCCCCCGCCCCAACCGCCCTACCATCGGTGGTCGGGCCTTCAGCCTCTCAGCCCCAGGCTCTGGAACTCCATCCCCCAGTGCCTTCGCCTTGCTTCCTCCCTTTCCTCCTTCAAGGCCGGTCTCAAAACCTTTCTCTTTGACCGAGCCTTCAGCTCCCCTCTCGACTCTCTTCCCCTCCTCGCTCCCTCCCTTCCCTCCCCTCACCCTGACCATTTCCCCCCTCCTTTCTCCCTCCCCTCCCCTGACCATTTCCCCCCTGCTCGGGTCATGACCCAACTGTGCAGCGCCTTGGGACGTCCTCCTGACGTGAAAGGCGCTTTACAAATGGAATCTTGTTGTTGTTGTTGTTGTTGTGTGGCTACACCAGGAAGGAGGGCGAGAAACAACAACAAAATTACATGTGTATCGCGCCTTTCACGTTGGGAGGACGTCCCAAGGCGCTGGAGAGACAGAGTTTCGGGCCCAAGCTGAGGGTTGGGGTGGGGGAGGGGGGAGGAAAGCAGGGAAGTCGAAAGCACGGTCAAAGAGGAGGGTCTTGAAGGTGGCGAGGGAGGGAGCGAGGCAGAGGGACTGCGGGATGGAGTTCCAGAGGGTGGGGACAGAGTAAAGGAAGACCCGCCAAAAGTGATGTGAAGCAGGCCGGAGCCCACTGAGCGGAGGGAGCAAGTAGGATGGTAGGGGTTTAGGAGATCACAGAGGTAAGGAGAGCGAGGCCATGGAGGGTTTTAAAGGTGAGGACCAGGACCTTGAACTGTATCCTCTGTGTGATGGGAAGCCAGTGGAGTCGGGCGAGGATGGAGGTGATGGGGTCATGAAACCTGGTGTGGGGGGAGGACACGGGCTGCAGTTAGTTCTGGATGATCTGCAGCCTGTGGAGGGAGGAGCTGGGGAGGCCACAATATAATGAAGGTGTCTATGGTGGAATGCAGTTCAAGGGGAAAGATTTGATAGACTCTTAATGATAATCCTTGCATTCGATATCATGCCTTATCGTCAAGACGGCTCAAAGCGCTTCACAGGAAACACTGTACAACAACAACAACAACAACAAGATTCCATTTATAGAGCGCCTTTCACGTCAGGAGGACGTCCCAAGGCGCTGCACAGTTGGGTCATGACCCGAGCAGGGGGGAAATGGTCAGGGTGAGGGGAGGGAAGGGAGGGAGCGAGGAGGAGGAAGAGAGTCGAGAGGGGAGCTGAAGGCACGGTCAAAGAGAAAGGTTTTGAGACCGGCCTTGAAGGAGGAAAGGGAGGAAGCGGTGAAGGCACTGGGATAGAGTTCCAGAGCCTCGGGGCTGAGAGGCTGAAGGCCCGACCACCGATGGTAGGGCGGTTGGGGCGGGGGACGTGGAGCAGACCGGAGCCAGAGGAACGGAGGGTACGGGCAGGTAGGTAGGGGGATAGTAGGTTGGAGAGGTAGGAGGGAGCGAGGCCGTGAATGGCCTTGTAGGTGAGGATGAGGATCTTGAAATCAATCCTCTGGGGGATGGGGAGCAGTGGAGGCGAGCGAGGGTGAGGGTGAGGGTGAGGGCGAGGGCGAGGGTGAGGGTGAGGGTGGGAGTGATGTGGTCGCGGTGTCTGGTGCGGGACAGTACACGAGCTGCAGAGTTCTGAATGACCTGCAGTGTGGAGGGAGGGCCGGGAAGGCCGACGAGGAGAGAGTTCCCATAGTCCAGCCTTGAGGTGACAAAGGCGTGAACCAGGGTTTCAGCCGCGTGAGGGGTGAGGTAGTGCCGTAGTCTGGCGATATTCCGGAGGTGATGGAAGGCGGTGCCAGTTGTGGTGCGGATGTGAGGGAGAAAGGACAGCTCAGGGTCGAACAGAACTCCGAGGTTCCTGATGGCTTTGAGAGGTGGAGAGTGCGGCCTTGGATGCTGATGCTGTCAGCGCCTGAGGTGCGGAGGCGCTGACGTGAGCCAATCAGGAGGGCCTCGGTTTTTCGCACGTTGAGCTGAAGAAAGTAAAATGAATTGACTGGGTATTTTATGGGCGAAATGCGGCAGCTAATTGGGCACAGCAGTAATCCCATAAACAGTCAGGGATCGAGTGACCAGATTATTTTTGGGAGGGATTATTATCTCCCCGAAAAGCGATCCGCCAATGGATTTACTTCCAGTGGTCACTCGAGGCTGCACTCTTTTGGTCTCTGTGACACACGTGGGATCCGGACAGAGTGCAGGAGAGCGACGAGAACAATTCCGTTATAGGGAATGAGTCCTGTAGTTTAGTGGTTAGAGCACTCGCCTCGCAAGCAAGAGTCCTGGGTTCGATTCCCAGGACAAAACGTTTACACCTCACACCTCCGTTGACCTGGCAGTAAGTAGAAGCCAGGTTGTTAGTCGATTGGTGGATCGTTTTTCCAGGGTTAATACTCCCTTAAAAAAAATAATAATACAGCTGGCTCAGTTACCAGGGAGGTGTCAGGGCAGGGAAACTGGGCTCAAAACCGCCCGATGTGAAGTCAATAGAACGGGGATTGGGTGAAGACGAGACACGATATAATAATAAAAATCCTTGCAGTTTGATGGTCCGCTGGTTGTCCCGTTAGCACCTCAACAGCCTGACATCAAGGCCAGTTATAGAGGCGTTTCGCTCACAAAACATATAGTCAATTCACATTACAGTATATTCTGTGAAGAGCTTTGAGACGTCTCAAAGACATGATGAGGTGCTCTATCAAATGCAAGTATTATTATAATAATAATTATTAAAATAATAATAATAATCTTGGATTTCATAGAGTGTCTTATCACTTCGGAAGGACGATTCAAAAATCCATTTTCGCACAGCAGCGTCCCACAAACAGTCGTGGATTGAGTGACCAAAATTTTATTATTAAGGAATTATTACCCCCGGGAAAAGCAATCTGCCACTCGACTTACAACCGGGTTCCTACTAACTGCTCGGTAAACAGAGGTGTGTGGAGTAAGGAAATTTGCCCAACGTTTGGCCCTGCCTGGGAATCGAACCTGGGTCCTCTCGCTTGCAAGCGCTCTAACCACTGAGCTACAAGGCTCCGTAAAGTCCTGTAGCCGATGGGTCAAAGGGTTGAAGTGGGGCAATTCCTTCCGCCCTCATCTCTGCAGACGATCAGACGATCTCTGAAGCAGCACAATAACCATTCTCGCTTTGCAAGTGAGAGACCTGAGTTCAATTCCAGGCAGAGGGCGACACCTCGGGCAAGTTTCCTTACTCCACACAGAGCCTAATAATATTCCCTCCAAAAACCAAAAACAATAATAAATTGGTCATTTTCAATCTACGACTGTTTGTGGGACATTGCTGTGCGCAATTGGCTGCCGCGTTCGCCCACAAATATACAGTCAATTCACTTTACAGTGTGTTCTGTGAAGCGCTTTGGGACGTCCTCCCGACGTGAAAAGCGCTATATCAAATGCAGGGATTATTATTATTATTCTCTCTTCCTCCAACAGCAGTCGCTGTCGGTGCAGGATTTCAAGGCTGTGTTTGGAATGTCACGGGAAGAGTTTGAGGCTCTGCCCAACTGGAAGCAAATCGCCATGAAGAAGGACAAAGCCCTATTTTAAAAAGATTTTATACACACACACACGCAAAATAGAGTCTTTAGGGTAGTTGGTTAACCTGCTAATTGCTTCCCTGTTTTGAACAGCATCAAAGCTTGTGGTCTAAAAGAGATAAATGCTGGCTTCATAGAACCATAGAATTACACAGCACAGAAGGAGGCCATTCGGTCCATCGTGTCTGTGTCGGCTCTTTGAAAAGAGCTTCCAATTCAACCCCACTCTCCCACCCTCTCCCCATAGCTCTGATCAACCCCTCTCCCCCGCGCTCTCCCCATAGCCCTGCAAACCTGTCCTCTCAAAATCATTATCTACTCCTCCCTTATAGAATCGGCTTCCACCAGCCTTTCAGGCAGTGTGTTCCAATGCTTTGACCAGAGCATACATCTTGCCTTGGGACGTGCTCCTGATGTGAAAAGTGCTAGTTATACAAGTGTACTTTGTCGTCCATATCACCTGTGGAAGGAAATATAAAAATGCATCAATTGCATAGAAATTTACAGGACGTAAAACCATTCAGGCCCATGACATCTGTGTAAGTCTTGTAACAGCAATCCTCTCAGGCCCCGTTTACCTGCCTCGTTCCCCCCAAAACCCCTGTAGTTTACTCTGTTTTTTTTTAAAAAAAGGCATTTTATTTTGTAAAACAATAATGGTTATGGACTCGGCTTCCAATATCCCAAACTATTGTGTGTGTGTGTGTGTGTGTGAAACTTTTCCTCCTCCCCTTCTCCATTTGCTCACTCATTAACTCTGTTAAAATGGATGCTATCCACATCACAAATTGCATTCATAGAGAGCCCTTCACGCAGAGTAGCGTCCCAGAGCAGAGCAAACAGACGTCACACAATCCATCCCAACTCACCCCACTGCTGTGCTTTGAAGATTCACTTCCCTTTTCACATTTCTAATTTTAACCCGTCCCTTCCTTCCTGGTTTGATTAAAACTTGATTACAACACAGCGCCCCTTCATGTGGGGTAGCGTCCGAGGGGGCTCGACAGTGGTGGAGTCTGACCCCGACCCGGGCGGGGGGGAAAGAGGGTGACCATAAGCACGATCAAAAAGGAAGGTCTTTAGGCAGGAGATAAAAGTGGAGAGGGAGGGGGAGCGGCGGAGGGATTGTTGCAGAGAGTTTGAGAGTTTCAGGGCGTTGTGGCTGAAGTCACCGCCACTGACGGTGGGAGCGAAGGGGACGAGGTATGTACAGGAAGCCGGAGCCAGCAGAGTGGAGGCAATTGGTGGTGAGGGGTAAGCAGGTTTGAGAGGGAGAGAGGGAGGGAGGGAGGTGCCAGGGCATGAGGGGATTTAAAGAGGAGTGTGATTATGGATCGGGCGGGGTGGGGGTGGGATGGCAAGTGGAAGAAAATACAAAGAAAGAAGTTTTTGATCATGTTATTTGAAACACGGGGACGTCAGCTCACCACAACTCTGCTCCGAGCACCTCATACAAAGCAACCTTTCTGATTCGGACAATTGGGCTGAAATGTTCTGAAATAACCCAAAGGCACCTTTTTTGGATCAGGAAGTTTTGACGGACGCTGGAACGAATGGAGATTCCCCCCCCGTTATAATCACACACATCGCTACCAGAAATTCCAGCCAGTATCCAAGGAATTTTGAGTCTTGGGGTAGTCTCTCTCTCTCCCCCCACCCCCGGTCAGAACAAATCGTAAATAATAATAATCCTGAGACGTATCAAAGCGCTTCACAGGATAGACTCGAAGGTGAATGGACTATTTCGTGGGGCAAGGCGAGATAACCTCTTTTTTTGCGACAACCCGAAAGAAAAAAAAAAGAGTCGGTGCGAGTTTAAACCGGCGCGAAATGGAATTTTTTGTGGGGGGAAAAAAATGAATGAATTAAAAAAAAATCCTACAGTTGTCTAGTTTGTAAACAATTTTTTTTTATTATTTAAACCACCCCGACTTACACTGCTACGCAGTGAACAAGCCCACACACACACACACACATACACACACACACACAGACAGACAGACCGAAACCTCAGTTAAAGCTGACGCACGAAAAACCTTTGAAGTGCAACAAAGTTCTGGAACGTTTTGTAATTTGGGATGGGGGTGGGGGGTAGTTTGGGGAAAGAGCGAAGAGAGAGAGAGAGAGAGAGCGCAGTCCATAAGAGACGCAGGGAAATGTCCCCGGACGTGGAACTCGAGTCTGATTTTGGAGGCTCTTAAGCGACAGTGATGGGTTTCTAAGTGGATCAGACAGTCAGTCAGACACCCGACCGGCTGATCAACAACAACCCATAAAAAAAAATAGTCTCATTAAAAGTGTGCAACTGCACTGCAGTCGGCAAAGAGATTGGTCACACAAAGAGAAAACAAACATAAGGGGGATTCCCACAACACAGAGAGAAAGGGGCACATTTTACTTGGAGTCCAACATTTGTAGGTCAAGGACAACAGAAGGTATCTCTCCCCCTTTCTCGCTCTCTCTTTTCTTCGCTCCCCATGAAAGCCAAAAAGGAGTGTGGTCAAGGTTAGGCTGCGTTCCCAAAAAAGGTTTTGGCCTTCAGACGATTTTGTTGTTGTAATCGCATCGTCAGCAACAATATCTTTTGGAAAGGAAAACCGGTTTGGAAACTCAACCGAGTCTGGACAACACTCCTTTTATCCTCGAGACTTCCCTCTCCTCCCCCACCCCACCACCTGGGTAAGACTCTTTAAGACCCAACTTCCAAGAGAAGGGTTTACAGTCGGGACGTTTGCAGTAATGAGACTTCAAAGGTAGTGTCTCGGATACATTCTCACTGGCGCTCAGCTTAACGTCAAAGGTCGCAGATTGGTCACCAATAAAAAAAACTCATGGGGTATTTTCCCCTCATAAATCTGATTCCTTTGGTTCTTATAAATAACCAAAAGTTCACTTTATAAATGTAAAACGGGCATAGTGTCCTGGATGCTGGGAGTGCAGTACAAACCATCTCAACTCCTCTTAATTCTCTCATCGCAAAATATTACAACTTTTCATTAATTTTTTAACGTTACATTCTTCTCTCTCACTCGCGCGCGCACACTCTCCCCCCCTTTTGCGACTTGTTACAGATCGAACGACGACAGGCGGCAGCAGGTTGGGGGGGGGGGGGTGCAGGGAGAGAATAATTCCGTCAGGACAGCAACAGGGACCTGAAATATAACCCGTCAAATTGCACGCAACCCAATTTATACAATAATAATGATCATCATCATAAAAAACATTAAACACAGGAGATGGTTTGAAGGACAGCCCAAACACAGTGGATTTCCATTCACAGATACAGCTCGAATTTCCCCCCAGAAGCAACAAGTTAACCCCCCCTCCCTCCCTCCTACCCACCCAAACTTCTCACAGAGGTCCTCTCCTGCCTCGCCCCCCCCCCCACCACCCACCCTCCCTTTTCTCCCCCAACAACAAATCGTTTGTAAGCGTTTTTGGGGTTTAAGTGACTTGACTTGTGGGGTGGGCTTCAATTCTGTGTAGAAACACCCAGGAAAGAAAGTGGCCCAATTCCAACACACAAAAAAGTTCGGCCGGTTTCTGGCTGATGGACAAGCTCACGCTCATGTCCTTAGTGTTCCTCCGCCCAGGCCCCGGGGCTCAGGTGGCCGTTGGTCCCATTGGTTCCCTTGTACGGGCTGTGACGATGGCGCCGGGTGTGGCCCCCACCGTTAGTCATGGGGTCGTCATCCTCCGAGCTGGACTCAATGTCACTGCGATCATCCTTCGACACCTGGGGGGGGGGGGTGGGTGGGATTGGGGAGAGCAATGGTTATTCTCTTTTAAGAAATGCAGGAACAGCTTCTCTCTCCCCTCCCCCCCACCAACTAACATTGATGGTCTCGCTGCTTAAAGGCATGGAGTCCTGTAGCTCAGCAGTTACAGCACTCACCTCGCAAGCGAGAGGACCCAGGTTCGATTCCTGGGCAGGGTGAAACGTTGGGCAAGTCTCCTTACTCCACACACACCCTGTTTACCTAGCGATAAGTAGGAGCCTGTTTGGTAGTCGATTGGCGGATTGCTTTTCCGGGAGTAATAATCCCTCCAAAAAAATAAAATAATAATAATTCAGGTCACTTCACTGTGAGTGGGACACTACTGTGCACAATCGGCTGTGGCGTTCCGCCCACAAAATGTACAGCCACTCCACTTTACAGTTTCAAACAAGTAGTAATCTACCCTGCCAGCCATCAGGTACTGGTGCTGTGGATAAGGTGCAGTCATGTATAACCAATGGGTTTATTTGGTTCATTTCCAAAGGTAGTAATCTGCTTGCAATGCCCAGGGCAGGAGCTATCTGGACAATTCAAACTGTGTAACAATTTATATTATATATATATATATATATATATAAATAAATAAAAATGCCACATACTATTTTCCCAACTGTGCAAGGGAAGAAAGGACTTCAGTTTAATATCAGACTGGCCATACTGAATTGTTTTGAGCCTACTTTATTTTCCTGCGTTGAGCATTTACTCATTTTGGACATTCTTGTCAACTAAATTAATGGCTAAAATGTACCTAGTTAAGGAATGTGGATTATTAACTAGACTGTCTGCTTTGCCTGCATTGCTCAGACTAAAGCCAGAACTTTTCGCTGTCTTTTTAATGTCTTAATCGTTAAATATTTCAAATTCTGAAATTTCAGAAGTGTACTGTATGTATAGATCAAGATCTTAATGTTCGATTCAACCTCAAACCATGTAATAATCCCTTAAAAAAAATTGGGTCACTCAATCCACGACTGTTTGTGGGATGCTGTTGTGTGCAATTGGCTGCCACATTTCGCCCACAAAATATACAGTCACTTCACCGTGTATCCTGTGAAGCGTTTTGAGACGTTTCGAAGACGTGATAAGGCACTGTATCAAATGCCAGGATTATTATTATTAATAACCACCACAGAGCAGTAGACTCCAGGATCGCTCGTCAATTGCTGAGCTCAGTCAGGGCGGCAGTTAAGCTACAGAATGGAGCTCAGTGCCAGCAGTGGAGGGCACACTGCCTTACCACCTAGTGCCAGCCTTCAGCTAGGACCCCCAAACTCTGAGCATCCCAACCTGTCTGTGCTTTAGGTGGAGGGCAAGATCCCTATTGTTAAAGGGAAGTGAGTTTCTCCCAAAGTTCTGGCCAACTTTTTTTGGGGGGAATACAAGAGTTTCTCCTTGCCTCATTAAGAGGACAGGAGCTCAGTCAGATTTCAGGATACTTGGTATATTTGTTTTTAAAACTCAACTCTGCAAAACCGACTCCTGATTTGTAAACTCAATTGAAGCAGTCTTTCTTCCTTCGGTTCTTTGGAACAAGAGAATACATTCAGGACCGTGGTTTCCCCAAAAAACACTGATTCCCTCCATCTCTCCCCCAACCCACCCATTAATGAACCTTCTGCAATAGCTATACTTCTGAAACAAACCGCTAGGTGGCACCAAGCACCACCAATAATGGTTGCCAAAGCCAGAATTCCTCCCTTCTCCAGTTAAAAACTCCCAAAGAGCCACCATCATCCCCCTCTCTCTCCCCCACCCGCCATTACCCCACCACAATAAGGCGCTTCGAGATGTTAAGTGTAAGATACTGGAAGTGAAAGTTAGTAGTCAAAGCTGCCAATTCCCGTTTGTGAGGGAGCAGAGATTACTGTAACTATGAAGAGATTTGAGATGTTTGACGATGCGATAAGGTGCTTATCAAACACAAACACTCGCCTACAAAATACAGTAACTACAATTTGCAGAAATATGTCCCACAACAAATGACACTTACAGTGCCTTTCATGCTGGACAGTCAGGGATTTGGTCCCGAGAGGCCCGGGATCAGGAGTGGCGGAGGGCGGGGAAGGTGACCAAAGGAGAGGTCGAAGAGGAGGGTCTTGAGACGGGGCTTGAAGGTGGCGAGGGAGGGAGCAAGGTGGAGTGGCTGTGGAATAGAGTTCCACGGGGTGGGGGCAGAGAGGCTGAAGGTTTGACCGCCGATGGCAGGGTGGGGCTGGGTATGTGGGGCAGGCCGGGGCCTGCTGAGCGGACAGGTGGGTTTGGGGGTAAGAAGGTAGGTCACAGAGGTAAGAAGGAGCAAGGCCATGGAGGGCTTTGAAGGCGAGGATAAGGATTTTGAACTCTATCTTTTGGGGGATGGGGAGCGAGTGGAGTAGTTCAAAGTCGTAAGGAGCTTATACCAAATACAAGGACTATTGTTATGCGTTTATAAGGAGGGAGAGTGGAATTGGAAGATTGCAATGGTGGATAAGGCCTTGAAAGCTCAAGAGTGGAAGAGAGCCTGGAGTCATAATGAACTCTGTCTTTGACCCTCCCTGCACTTTGCCCTGTCAAGAATTTCACATTCACATGTATTTATTTACATCAGCACAACTTCATTCCTGGAGAATGGTGCGAAGGGAGAAATGGGTCAGGAGTTAAGACGCTTTATGCATTAGTAGCAATAACTGCACCCTCATCCTCCCTACTTACCCAGGATGGGGGGGGGGGGGGATTCTGTTACTGTGCTAGTTCCAAACAGCAATGTGTATGTTACAAGGCATGCAAAGCATGGTGGAAGGCGGGTAAAATAGCAATATTATGCTGTCCCAGGAAAGACACTGGATCATGCAGAGCTGAGCAGAGCAGACAGGCTTGTGCAGGTGAACAAGCAAAGTGTTGGGCTACTCAATGTAACCGTAGCCAGACTTACAAGACAAAGGTCCCACTTCACAGACTTTTCCGGTGACACATACAGAGAGAGAGAGAGAGGGAGAGAGAACAAGGGGCAAAGAGAACAGAGACATGAAATCAGATGTCAAACAACAGCAACAAGTCAAGAACTTCTCCCTTGGCTGGATGGGTGGCTGGTGGGTGGGAGAGAGTCAGACATGGGATGGGGGAAGAGTGCGAGAGCGTGGGGCGGAGGAAAGAGAGAGAGAGAGGGAGACGCACACAGATATACAAAGACGTACAGAGTAGCTGGACTTGTATCTGGAAGCACAGATATGACCCGTGACAACCTATTAATTGATTTCTTAATTATACACACACACTCCCGCCCACCACACAAAACAGGCCCCTTACATGCTGCAAGTCTCAGCCCTGCCAGGCCGAGTGGTTCAGGTTAGGACAAGTGGTGGGAAGCTCTTGCCAGACCAGGCAATAGAGAACAAGGCACTGGAGTGATTGAAAGAATCAGCTCGGCGCCACGGGGAATACAACACACACACGTGTCAGACACCCACCCGGCCGACCCAAACAAGAAGGGCCAGCTTACCTTTCCCTTCATGATTGATTTGTACGCAATGCGGATGATGAGATATGACCAGATGCCGTGGAGGATCTGTAATACAATCAACAGGGTGTTGAAGACCCACCAGGACGGGTAGGGCCCAATTATCTCCCAACTTTCAAACAGCGTGGTCTTTAAAATCCTGGGTTGGGTGGAGGGGGGGGGGGGGGAAGAGGAAACAAAATGTAAGACACGAACAACAGCTTTGATCACTTCAATCCACGGCTGTTTGTGGGTACACTGCTGTGCGCAATTGGCTGCTGCGATTGACCCACAAAACATACAGTCAACTCACTTTACAGTATTTCCTGTGAAGCGCTTTGAGACGTCTCGAGACTTAATAAGGCGCTGTATCAATTGCAAGGATTTTTATATTATTACAGCAACTTGCATTTCTATAGCGTCCTTCACACAGGGTAGCGTCCCAAAGGCATCAGCCTCCACACCTGTATAACAGGAATTACTCCTTAATATTTTCATGTAGACATTCCTTCCCCCCTCACCTCCAAAAAAATAAGAGGGATTCTTTTTGGGAACATATGGCCCCCGCACCACCCCCTACCCAGCGGAACACACACACTATGTGTGAACACACTCTCTTTTCTCTCTCCTTCAACCACCAATCAGAACACATGCCCAGTATCCCCCACCGAAACATGAGTCTCATCCCCCTACCCCCACCCTCCCCAAATCGGGACATGCCCTCCCGCACCCTGATTTTACTCACCATACGGGGTAAATACCGAGCCTCGTGCTGACGAAGACAAAACCAAACGCCATAAATAAAGAGTCGCAGATCCTTTGATACTTGGCATAATTTGCTAACTTAGCAGCCTGCAGAGAGAAGCAAGAGAAGGGGCTATTACAAGGTGTGAGTCTCAGATCATTGTGGTTGGCGCACTCGCCTCGCAAGCGGGAGGATCCAGGTTTGATTCTTGGGATAGGGCAAAACATTAGGCAAGTTTCCTTACTCCACATATCCACACCTGTTTACCAAGCTGTAAATACTCAATTGGCAGATCACTTTCTGTGGGATAACAATATTAATAATAATCTTTGCATTTGATACAGCGTCTTATCTCGTCTTCAAGACGTCTCAAAGCGCTTGACAGAATATACGGCAGATATTTTTTTTAAAAATATTTAGTCACTCAATCCACGACTGTTTGTGGGGCGCTACTGTTCGCAATTTGCTGCTGTCTTTCACCCACAAAATATGCAGTCAATTCACTTTACAGAATATTCTGTGAAGTGCTTTGAGAATTCATGGGAGTGCTCTAAACAATACACTACAGAATTGCATGAAATATAAAAGGGCGTGTGGGGAATTAAGAGATCCAGCATAGGCATGAGGGGGCAAAAGGCAGAGACCCTCAATAAAACTCTTGTGGTGTAGAATGCTTTCCAAAATCTTGGGCAGGTTAAGAAAATAGTCTTGAACTTTGTACCCATTAAGTCAGGGAGGGGCTTTTTATGGCAAGACTGCAGATGCCATGCCACTCGAGTTGGATCAGCATTGATTGAGCGGAGACAGATGGTGATGGTTTGGTTGGAAATTAGGAGCTGGGGGGGGGGGGTGGGATTTGAGGGGGCATTGCCTGCCCTGTACACAGAGACCTAGCGGTCAGACTTACACACACACACACACACACACACACGTAAAGACAGCTCGGGGTTCCAGTGCAACGGAAGCAGTCTAAAAAGCACACACCTTTAAAAAAAGGTTAACACTACAATCATTATCTGAGCAGGAGTTTAGCAGTGGATCCTTTAAACCCTGCGTGATGCCTTGCTTCTCTCTCCTCCTGTCCTAGGACCAACCGATGCCTATATTCACCACTTTGCTTCCCTCATCCCCCACAACCACAAACCAGTCTCTGCCTGTCACTGCGCAGCCAAGTTGGCAGAGAACAGACCCCTGAAAGCCAATCATTGGGGTACTAAACACACACTCCGGGCTCCCACCAAGCCTTGGCTCTCGCCAACCTGCAACTAATACTTCCCGCAATTAGGTAAGCAGGATGTGTCCCTCTGTGCAGAGAGAGAGAGAGAGAGTGCGAATTCCACTCCCACAATCTATCTCAGGAAATTTCCACTTGAAGGTGGGAGGCAGGGAATTCTCAGTTTGGTTCGGAGACTCTTAAGCAACGGTGATGGGTTTCCACATGTGTCAGGCACACAGCTGACCCCAAAAAATTATTTAGCGCAGAGTGGTCCAACTGGCAGCCAATTGGCCAATTTCACCCGCGCCTCCCCCCACCCCCATTCTCCACCATTTCATCTGGCCCACCCGCTCCCTCCATAACCCATAAATGTTATGTTTAGAATCATAGAATTACACAGCACAGAAGGAGGCCATTCGGCCCATCGTGTCTGTGCCGCTCTTTGCAAAGAACTTCCAAATCAAACCCCTCCGCCCTCCGCTCTCTCCCCATGGTCCTGATCAACCCCACTCCCCCGCTCTCTCCCCATAGCCCTGATCAACCCCACTCCCCCGCGCTCTCCCCATAGCCCTGATCAACCCCACTCCCCCGATCTCTCCCCATAGCCCTGATCAACCCCACTCCCCCGCTCTCTCCCCATAGCCCTGCAAACTAGTCCTCCCCAAGGAAGGAAGGAACACTGCTTTTACAGCCCGCAACGTTTCTCAAGTAGGGCATGCGGGACAAAGCAGCCAAAAGGTTGGACGACACTGTGAACCAGCCGGGCCTCAAACTCCACCACTGTTAAGCGCTGCTGGACACTACACGGCCTAGAGGGCACTATGTTAATGCGAGCTGTTGTGTTTTGACGTGAGACCTTCGGTTCCCCGCACCCCCCCAACGCCCCCTTGCAGATTTTACGAGCTCAGCGCTAAACAAGAAGAAGTCTCACCTCTAAAAGGGAATCGGACGCGTCGTGAAGGCACATTACTAGTGTTCCTACTCGCAACATGTTGTTGACGTAAGAGAAGGTGATTAATCCGACTGTAGCAAAATGATGGAGCAGCATAACAAAAAAGTCCTGCGAGAAAGAGGTTATCGTTAATATCAACACACGGCCGGCCAAGGGTGGAATAGGAACCATACGTTTGTCGAACAGGTAAACTTATCCTCCCTCCCTAATAGCAGCACGGAGCAGCAGCTATATAAATAGCACCCTACCTCTCTGACCTCCTGACTCCCTATCAACCTGTCCGCTCCCTCCGCTCAGCTCCGGTATGCTCCATGTCTCCTGCCCGACCCACCCTACTATCAGTGGCTGGGCTCTCAGCCTCGCTGCCCCCATCCCACAATCCCTTCGCTTTGCTCCCGCTCTTGCCTCCTTCAAGGTACGACTCAAGTCCCTCCTTTGCGTCCACCCTCCTACCCCCTCTGCCCTCCCTCATCCCAACCCTGGCCCCCCCCATGCTCAGATCCTGACCCCTGACCTTTCAACGCCTTGGGACGTCCTCCCGACGTGAAAGGCGCTTTACAAACATAATTTTGTTGTTATATAAATGCAAGTTATTATTATTGTTTAGGTGAAGGTCACCCACAAAACATACAGTCGCTACACTTTACAGTATATTCCTGTGAAGCGCTTTGAGACTCTCAACGACATAAGGCACTATATCAAATGCAAGGATTATTATTATTATTATTAAGGTTAAAAGCCCCACATACTGTTAGAAAAGAGAGAGGACTTTTAGCCCAATTTTCTGGCCAACAATGCTCCAGATAAATTGGTCTCTTATGACGGGTAATGGGGTCCTTAACCGGCTGGAGGCAAATACCTCCCACAATTGCTCACAAAACGTCACACAGATTTATTGTGAAGTGTCTGGAGACACATCTAGTTAGGGGAACAACAACAACAACAAACATTTATACAGCACTGGTTAGCGTCCCAGAACACGAGTTAGATTGATGGTTGTGTCAAAATTGTGGGGTGGAGGGGAAGAGAAACAGGAAAGAAGAAAATTTAGGACAGTTGCCCTGCTTTGTTCACATAAACAACTATAATAATCCTTGCATTTGATACAACGCCTTATCAAGTCTTCGAGACGTCTCAAAGCGCTTCACACAGAATATACTGTAAAGTGAATTGACTTTATATTTTGTGGGTGAAACATGGCAGCCAATCGCACACAATAGTGTCCCACAAACAGTCGTGGATTGAGTAACCACATTTTTATAATTTTTCTTGAAGGGATTATTAACCCCCTGTAAAAGCAACTACAACAAGACAACAACAACAAGATTCCATTTATAAAGCGCCTTTCACGTCAGGAGGACGTCCCAAGGCGCTGCACAGTTGGGTCATGACCCGAGCAGGGGGGAAATGGTCAGGACAAGACTGGCTGAACTTTCTCTTTCTCTCTCTCGCACACGCATTACTTTCACTGCAGATCATTAAAACCACTCAAATTCAGGCTGCGTGTGTGGGGGGGGGAGAGAAAGAGAGAACAGATGTTTCAGACAGCTATGAGGTTTTACAACAGTTTAATGGCAAAAGATATGTAAATACATCCAATTATTCCAACATCTGGTGTTCGCCATGGATTCAGAAGTTAAGCAGGCAGCAAGGAGACCCATTCACACTAGATTTCCATCTCTCAATGTTCTTCCTGTAGTTCCTCTCTCCCTCCTCCCGCCCCATTACCAGCCCATATCTGACCTTGGTTTATAATATAATCCTTGCAATTGATACAGCACCGCATCACGTCTTCAAGACATCTCAAAACACTTCACAGAATACAAAGTGAATTGACCGTATATTTTGCGGGTGAAACGCTGCCACCAATTGCGGACAGCAGCGTCCCACAAACAGTCGTGGATTGACTGACCAATTTTTTTTTTTTGAAGGGATTATTACCCCCGCAAAGTGATACGCCAATCAACTAACAGCCAGGTTCCTTCATACTGCTAGGTAAACAGACGTGTGAAGTAAGGGAACTCGCTCAACATTTTGCCCTGCCCTGGGAATCCTTGCCTCGGTGTGGCGAGGGAGTGGAGCTGGACAAGACACATCACAGACATTAGCTAACTCAGCGCAACTGAGTTTATATCAACTCAGCCACTCACCCTTCAGAGCACTGCTGATCACAGAACGGTCATCAGCACAGCCTGCCAAGTCCTACCGATGAGGGCCGACCTGTCACTGGGGCCAGGGAACCCTCCCCCTCAGCTCCTGTTAACCCTGCAAGCCCAAACCCTAATAGGTAGGGTGGTTCTAGCTGGACAAGCAGCAGGAAAGCTTGCCAGATAATGATATCAATGGCAAGACATGTGGTTTAAGCTGGTCAGTTTTCAGCAGTTACCCCAGCGCACACTTTGGGCTCCCCACCAAGCCTTGGCTCTCGCCAACCTGCGCTTAAATAGTCAGACACACGGCTGCCCAAGTAAAAGACACACTTGCTGGATCGATGTGGTTTGTTTTTCAAGGGAGGGGTTGGGGAGAGAGAAGAAGTGCAGAAGACTCGAGACTTGCGCTTTTTATCTGTGACTAAACTTTTTCCACTGGGGACTTCAAAGAGCTGATTAGGTGGGAAATCAAGGTGCTGTGACCCACCTGGTTAATGACTGACAGACAGATAGGTTTAATACTGCAAATGGCTTTGCTTTGACTTTCGGAACAGCCTGACAGATACAGAACCCCAGCAGCAGACTGGAACTAAAGGCACACACTAACCGGATCAAAGAGCAAACTGATCCCAGCGACACTGTACTGGGAAACACTTGAGACAGTACCTTTAAATGACAGATCAACACAACACAGACAGAGATAAGCGAAAGGATATCAGGGGAAGGAGGGAAAAGAGAGGAAAGGTGACTGAACAAAAGGTAACTGAGGAAAGGCAATTCAGCCAAGTGAAAATGAATCTCTCAGCGTTAAGACTGCAGCAACAAGTGGCAAAGAGTACAATGGACAGAGGACAAAGAGCGAGCAGCAAGATGCTGAATGCAGCACTGTGCCTGTAACAAAGGGCGTTTCGTCTCCATTAAACTGCTGGGTTTCTGCAGTACAGAGCAAAGCTCCCAGTCGCAGAACAACGGACCACATTTAGACCACTTTTACCCTGCAGGGATGCCGGCCAGTCTGGGCATTGGGTTTAGGTCAGGGTGGTCCAAATAGCAGCCCACAGGCTGCATCCGGTCCTTGGGCCGATTTCATTCCAGCCCCCTGCATTTCACCTGGCCTACCTGCTCCCCCCATAACCCGGAAATCTTGTTATTGCTATGTTTCTGAAAGGGAAACACACAAGTATTTTTTACGCGGCCCGCGGAAGTTTCTCAAATAGGGCATGCGGCTCTCAGCAGCTAAAAGGTTGGACCACCCTGGTTTAGGTAATAATAATCCTTGTATTTGATATAGCGCCTTATCACATCGTTGAGACGTCCGAAAGCTCTTCACAGAATATATTGTAAGGTGTAGTGACTGTATATCTTGTGGGCGAGGAACAGCGACCAATTGCACACAGAGACGTCCCACAAACTGTCGTGGGTTGAGTGACTACATTTGGGGGGGCAATAGTAGCAACAATGGTGTGCCTGGTGTCTCTACAGTGTAAATGTAGCCTGAATGTAGCCTGGCGTTACTGTGGCTGGGAGTAACCAGCCAGCCAGTCTCCCTCCCACCCTCTCCCTCCCGCACCCCCACCCGACGCTTGAGTGCCCAGCCAGCTCTGTGAAGCGTTTGTGAGACGTCCTCCCAACGTGAAAGGCGCTATGTAAACGTTAACCATATTGCACAACTCCTGAATTCTAAACAAGGGAGGAGGGGGAGGAACATGGATTGGAACTCAGCAGAGAGAGAGAGAGAGAGAGAGAAGCAAAGTGAACAGACAGTTCAGATAATAACCTAATTTATCAATTACTGTATACAGATGACTGGTCATGGGGCTGGCTTGGCCACACCACAGTTCGCTATGTTTACCTCAAGGCAAAGCTGCTGCTCCCTCCCCTGTTTCCAGTGTAACTCTTCCACGCCTTCATTACATCGAGGCTCGACTGTACAAACTCCCTGCTTGTCTTCCTCCCCAACTCCTCCCTCCACAGGCTGCAGCTCATCCAGAACTAACTCTGCAGTTCGTGTCCTCTCCCGTACCAGTCTCCGTGACCCCATCACCCCCATCCTGGCCCGACTCCACCGGCTTCCCATCACACAGAGGATACAGTTCAAGATCCTGGTCCTCACTTTCAAAGCCCTCCATGGTCTTGCTCCCCCCTACCTCTGCCACCTCCTAACCCCCTACCATCCTGCTCACTCCTTCTGCTCAGTGGGCTCCGGCCTGCTTCACATCCCACGCCTCGCTCGCCCCACTGTTGGTGGGCGGGCCTTCCCCACCCTCTGCAACTCCATCCCACAGTTCCTCGCCTCGCCCCCTCCATTGCCTCCTTCAAGGCTCATCTTAAGACCCTCCTCTTTGACCGTGCTTTCAATTTCCCTCCCTCCTCCCCGCCCTAATCCCGACCCCCAGCTCGGATCCGCAACACCGACTTGAAAGTCTCTGTACACATGTCATTTTGTTGTTGTGTGTAGTTTACTCATTCTCGTTGGTTACGGCCTAAATCAAATCCATTCCCACAACCTCACTGCTTGGTAGGTTGTGGGACCCATCAGAAGTTATGAATAAAGGCACAATTCCTCCCTCCCAACCTGACGCAACTCTTCATCTTCGTTCCCCCCCACACCCACCCCCCCAACCCATGTTCAGTTGGCAATGCTTCTGTTTTAACAGACCAGGCAGGTCACTGGAGCTGTGCTGTTGTATCTCACTGCCTCCCTCCCAGCACCAGTGTAAACACATGAGGATGAGCGCATAACTAGAAGGCATCAGTGTCAGTAATGATGGAACAGGGAGCTCAGAAGGAGCTTCTTCACTGAGGAATGAGGAGAACGTGGAATTCACTGCCACCAGCTGTGATGGAAGCAAAAAGCATCAAATGTATTTAAGAGAAAACTTGATGCGGATATGGGTAAGGAGAGCGGTATAGAAGAGAGGAACAGGGGGAAAGGGGGCTTGCGAAGTATAAACACCAGCATCGAATAGTTGGGCCAAATAACCAGTCTTGTGTTCTATTTGGCCCAACCATCAAAAGGTTAGGCCAAATAGATCATAAGACTTTGCTGTTGCACAAGTTACTGTGTCTCAGAATCTCAACAAAGCACCTCTTTGTCAGGGTAATAGTTGTTAGGTCAGGGTTTTAAGGGATACGGGGCAAGGACGGGTATTTGAGATACAGATCAGCCACGATCTTATAAAATGGTGGCACAGGCTCGCGGGGCTGAATAGCCTACTCCTATTTCTATGTTTCTAACATCAAGCCTAACAGTAAGGAGCATGGACTTGCAGATCACCTACGTTGGCTCACTGGGACGTCATCACGCAAACAACAAATTACATTTACACAGCACCCTTTACGTTGGGAAGATGTTCCAAGGCGCTGAACAGTCAGAGATTTGGACCCAAGCTGGGGGTTGGGATCCAGAGGGGTGGAGGACAGGGAGGGTCTGGGTAGGAGGGTGCCCGAAGGCACGGTCAAAGAAGACGGTCTTGTAACATGCCATGAAGGAGGCAAGGGAGGGGGAGAGGCAAAGGGACTGTGGGATGAAGTTCTGGAAGACATGGAGCAGGCTGGAGGGAGTGGACAGGTCTATATGGAGTTAGATCACAAGCGCAGAAATCGATTCCAAGCCCAGAGATGCTGGGGCATCTTATCTAAGATGTGACCTCTTAGCTTATGGCTTACTGTCGCGCTAGCATTATTATCCACCAGTAGATTTTACCAACAGCTGCGCTGGGCAATCGGGAGTTCAGTGACAGCAGAGACACTTACCTTTCTTTTAATATCTGTAAACTGTGAAAACATCAAGGACCAGTAGAAAGAGAGTTCCACTGTGTAATAATAATACATGTCCACCGTTAGTTGCTGGAGAAAGAAAACACAAATTAGATTAACAAAGTCTGAAAGGCAAAATCTACCCCATAGGCAAGACACTGAAAATGTTGGGAACCGCTCATAGGGACATAATAATAATCCTTGCATTTGATATAGCGCCTTATCACGTCTTCGAGACATCTCAAAACGCTTCACAGAATAAACTGTACGCAGTTGGCTGCCGCATTTCGCCCACAAACCATACAGTCAATCCACTTTACAGTATATCCTGTGACGTGCTTTGAGATGTCTCGCAAACGTAATAAAGTGCTATATCAAATGCCAGAATTATTATTATTATACTGTAAAATGAATTGACTGTTGCTACTGCTCTAACAACCTGGTACATTCCCTTCCCCTGTCCCCTCCCTCGCCACCCATGTAATGCATAGAACCATCACAGAAGGCCATTCGACCCACCGTGTCTGTGCCAGCACTTTAAAGAGCAATCCTTTCAGTCCCATTTACCTGCCCTTTTGTCCCCTGTATCGTACTCCTTTCTGGGTAGTATCTAATAAATAATAATAATCCTTACATTTGATATAGTGCTTTTCACGTCTTCGAGACGTTTCAAAGCGCTTCACAGACGACTGCAAAGTGAATTGACTGCGTATATTGTGGGCCAAACACGGCAGCCAATCGCGTACAAAAGTGTCCCACAAACAGTCGTGGATTGAGTTACCAAATTAATATTTATTTATTAAGGATTACCGCGGGAAAGCAATCCCCCAATCGACTCATAACTGGGTTCCTACTTACTGCTAGGTAAATGGCAGCGTGCGTGTGGAGTAAGGAAACTTGCCCAACGTTTTGCCCTGCCTGGGAATCAAACCCAGGTCCTCTCATTTCCAAGGTAAACTCTCTAACCACTGAGCTGCAGGATTCCACAGTGCTGTAACCACTAAGCTACCAGACTTTACAAGTTAAGCATAGTCAGTCTGGATCAGAGCAGATGTACATTTACATGGTCGAGGGGAAGTGGGTGCAAGTTGAGCCAGGAAATTGCACACCATGGTTCATGCCCATTGGAGCTAGGCTGAGACGGGCTCACACTCACTTCACTCAATACTCTCACAGCCAAAATGGGAAGCATTACATTCTGTGTTAGCACTCGATGCAATGCTCATTGTTTTATATTAATAATAATAATCCTTGCATGATATAGTTCCTCATGTCATTTAGACAACTCAAAATGCTTCAGAGGATTTACTGTAAAGTCATGAGGTGATTTTATCAGGAGGAACTGTTGGCCAGGATACCGGGAGAAACTGCTTTCTGGGAATTTCAGGCACCATTAAAAATAAATTTTAAAGAAGATTATGTTAAGGGATAGATTTAAAAAAGGCTAAATTTACAGTGTTCAGTTTACCAAATCTCGTAAAGATACTAAGCTTTAAAAGGTCAGTGTAGTAACAAAGAGGTCAAAGAGGAGGGTCTTCTTGAACTCTATCCTCTTGGGGGATGGGGAGCCAGTGGAGCCGGGCGACGGAGGGGCTGATAGGGTCACAGAGCCTGGTGCGCGAGAGGACATGGGCTGCAGAGTTCTGGATGATCTGCAGAATTGGGAAGGCCGACAAGCCAGGAGTTGGCATAGTCGGGTCTAGAGGTAATAAATGATTGGATGAGGGCTTCGCTGGCCTGAGGGAAGTGAAAGAAATCTCCACATACCCAGCTTGTTTATGAGGTGTCATCACCTAACCAGGTTGCAAACTGAAACCAAAGTCTCAAATTCTAATGACGGTGCATGCGTCTGTGCGTCTGTGTGTGTGTGTGTGTGAAAATACAGAGGAAAACAGATGCATTATTTACACAAAGAAAACAAAAACTTGAAATTAAAAACAAATATATATCCTGAAGAAAAATCAGTGGGAGCTCAGATAACAGAAGAAAGGTTTATAAACATAGTGTTTTGCATTACACCTTCCGGAGACGCCACATGTGCACTGTCTCAGTGTCAGAGGAAGGCAGATCGGGTCTCAGTGTTCAGTTCTCACCTGATATGGGTAGTTATACCAACAGTGTCGTGTGTCCCAAAACCAGGGAACCTGGGGAGAGAGAGAGAGAGAGAGCACAATCAGGCAGGTATTACTGCATCCACAATGGGCTGTTCAATAGGTAGAGAGCACGAGAAGGAGGGACAACAACAACAACGATTCCATTTATAGAGCGCCTTTCACGTCGGGGCTGAGAGGCTGAAGGCCCGGCCACCGATGGTAGGGCGGTTGGGGTGGGGGATGTGGAGCGGAGCCGGGGGGGGGGGGGGGGGGGGATGTGGAGCAGACCGGAGCCAGAGGAACGGAGGGTACGGGCAGGTAGGTAGGGGGATAGTAGGTCGGAGAGATAGGAGGGAGCAAGGCCGTGAATGGCCTTGTAGGTGAGGATGAGGATCTTGAATTCGATCCTCTGGGGGATGGGGAGCCAGTGGAGGCGAGCGAGGGCGAGGGTGAGGGTGAGGGTGGGAGTGATGTGGTCGCGGTGTCTGGTGCGGGACAGTACACGAGCTGCAGAGTTCTGAATGACCTGCAGTGTGGAGGGAGGGCCGGGAAGGCCGGCGAGGAGAGAGTTCCCATAGTCCAGCCTTGAGGTGATAAAGGCGTGGACCAGAGTTTCAGCCGCGTGAGGGGTGAGGTAGTGCCGTAGTCTGGCGATGTTCCGGAGGTGATGGAAGGCGGTGCCAGTTGTGGTGCGGATATGAGGGAGAAAGGACAGCTCAGGGTCGAACAGAACGCCGAGGTTCCTGATGGCTTTGAGAGGTGGAGAGTGCAGCCTTGGATGCTGATGCTGTCAGCGCCTGAGGTGCGGAGGCGCTGACGTGAGCCAATCAGGAGGGCCTCAGTTTTGCACGTTGAGCTGAAGAAAGTTGTCTCTCGTCCAGGACTCGATGTCGGACAGGCAGCTGTCAGGACATCGGTGGTCGTGGAGTTGAGGGTAGAGGAGGAAAGGTAGAGTTGGGTGTCATCCGCATACATGTGGAAGTTAACCCCATGTCTGCGGATGATGTCACCACAGGGGGAGCATATAGAGGGTGAAGAGGAGGGGACCGAGGACAGAGCCCTGAGGGACACCGCACGAGACAGTGCGGGGGGGGGAGGAAAAACCATTTGTGGAGACAAAGTGAAGACGGTGGGAGAGGTACGACCTAAACCACTCAAGGACAGGGCCTTGAAGGTTGAGGTGGGAGGACAAGCGGTGGAGGAGGATAGCGTGGTCGACCGTATCGAATGCTGCCGATAGGTCGAGGAGGACGAGGAGGCAGAGGGAGCCCTGGTCACAGATGGTCAGGATGTCATTGGTGACCTTGACCAGGGCAGTTTCTGTGCTATGGGCAGCACGGAAACCCGACTGAAGGGGTTCGAATAATGAATGGTTGGAGAGGAAAGAGCGCAGCTGGGAGGCCACAACTCGTTCCAGGACCTTGGACAGGAAGGGGAGGTTGGAGATGGGCCGGTAGCTTGATAGCTGCGACGCATCAAGGGAGGGTTTTTTCAAGGTGGGAGTGATGGTGGCAGTTTTTAAGGGAATGGGAACAGAGCCAGAGGAGAGGGACAGGTTGATAATGTCTGTGATATGTGGGGCAAGGAGGTGGAGCTGGGAGATAAGGAGTGGAGTGGGGATGGGGTCAAGGGAGCAGGTGGTGGGTTTCAGGGATAGGATGAGTTTGGTGACAGAGGGTGGGGAAACGGGTACGAAAGTGTGTAGGGGAGGATGGGTAGGAGTCGGAGTGTGGGAGGGAGGGGTGGGGGGTGGGTGGATGTTGGAGGGGAAGTGACCGCGGAGCGGATTCCCTTGATTTTGGATTCAAGGAAATCCAGCATCTCCTCGCAGTGAAGGTTGGAGGAGATGACCTGCGCGGGGTGGCGGGGGGGACGGAGGAGTCGGGATGTGGTAGAGAACAGTAGCCTGGGGTTGTTCTTCGCCTCCAGGATTATCCTGGAGTAGAAGGACGACTTGGCCGAGGCTAGAGTGGAGCGGTAGATTTTGAGGAGGTCCAGCCAGATTTGTCGGTGGACCGTTAGGCCAGATTTGACGCAGGTGCGTTCAGCGGCCCGCACCTGGCTCTTCAGTGAGCGGAGGTGGGTGGTGAACCAGGGGGAGGAGCGAGAGTAGGAGACAGTACGGGAGGTGATGGGGGCAAGAGTGTCGAGTGTGGAGGAGAGGGTGTTGTGGAGGAGGGTGAGAGCAGAAGAGGGGTCAGTGAGGGTTGAAGGCCAGAGGGAGAGGAGTTCAGAGGACTCCAAGGCAGCGGTTAGGGATTGTGGGGGTAACTTCTTCCAGGGGCGGTAGAAGATGGTGGTGGGTCTGGTGGAGGTGGGGAGGGGGGTGGAGGTGGTGAAGGAGATGAAGTGGTGGTCGGAGATGGCCTTGTCGGTGATAGTGACATCCGAGACACTGAGGCCCCGGGTGATCACCAAGTCGAGTGGGTGGCCGTGACTGTGAGTGGGGGAGTTGATGTGAAGGGAGAGGTTGAGCGAGGAGAGCAGGGAGGAGAAGTCTGAGGAGATGGAGCAGGAGGGGGTGAAGTGCAGGTTAAAGTCGCCCAGGATGATGAGGCGATCAGAGCAGAGGCAGAGAGATGTAAGAAGTGTCGAAATATCGGAGATGAAGGTGGGAGAGGTTTTAGGGGGCCGGTAGAGGAGGAGGATTTTGAGCGAGAGGAAGGAGGGGTGCTCGAAAGAGGGGAAAGAGCCAGAGGAGTAGGGGGATAGGGCAAGTGGTGTGGCCTCTGTGAGGGGGAAGGTGTCACCTGGGGTGAGCCAGGTTTCCGTTAAGGCCATGATGTCAACGCTCTCATCAAGGATGAGATCGTCGATGACCAGGGCCTTGTTACAGAGGGAGCGGACGTTTTGCAGTCCGATGTGGAGGGAGTGGTTGAAAGAAGGGTGTGTGGGAGGGGAGGGGGGTCCAGGTTGTGAGGCAGGGGTGGGGGGAATGGGGATAAGAGAGGAGAGGTTGGCTCCCCAGGACTGTGTCCGGGGTGGGTGGCGAGTGTGGTGGGGAATGGGGCAGTCGGTGTGGCTGCTGCTGGACAGCCAACGCCGAGTGCCACGGTGAGCCCGGCGGAGGATTCCCAGGCTGGAGCAGAGGGAGGTTGTGGGAGGGTCAAGTGGGGATAGAAGGCGAGAGAGAGGAGGACAGAGTGGGAGAGATGCAGAGGGGGGAGGGTTTGGGGGTAGAGAGGAGGTAGGAGGGGGTGAGGGGGCTCAGGTCAAAGCGGCAGCCATAGTGCGCACACAGGGACCGGGAGCGAGCAACAACAACAACAAATAACACTCGTGCAGTGCCTTTCATGTCAGAAGGACGTCACAAGGCACTGGACAGTCAGGGATCCACAACAACAAGTTGCATTTATATGACGCCCTTTAAACAGGGCAGCAACTTGGAACAGTTAACGCTCACACACACATATGCAAGTGACATAAACTGGTCGAGCAGGCTTGACAGGATGCATGGCCCAACCCCTGTACAAAGGCAGAAGATTCAGGGAAAGATTGATAGTTTTTTTGTTGTTCAGCCATGAGTAATTTGGGGTTCAAAGGGTTAAATTACAACAACATGCTGCATAAGCTTGAACTGCATTACCCGGAGCTTAGAAAGGTTGAGGGACGAGATCTAATGGAGGCGACTGAATTGATAAAGGAATTCGATAGGGTAGATACAGAGAAACTATTTCCTCTGGTGGGGGAATCCAGAACAAGGGAGGCATCATCTTAAAGTGAGAGCCAGGCCATATAGGAGTGAAATAAGGAGGCAGTTTTTCCACACAGAGGGTAGTAGAAATCTGGAACTCTTACCCTCCCCCAAAAGGCTGGATCCACTTACACTTTCAAGACTGAGATGGATAGGTTTTTTGTTAGGTCAGGGTGGAGCCCTATAGCTCAGCGGTTACCGCACTCGCCTTGCAAGCGAGAGACCTGGGTTCTATTCCTGGCAGGGCGAAATGTTGGGCAAGTTTCCTTACTCCACACCACTCTGTTTTACCAGCAGTGAGAACAGGGTTATGATGAGAAGGGGGGCAAGAAGGGAGAAGAGGGGGGGCAAGAAGAGAGAAGAGAGGGGGGGCAAGAAGAGGGGGGGCAAGAAGAGGGCCGGGCAAGAAGAGGGGCGGGCAAGAAGAGAGAAGAGGGGGGGGCAAGAAGAGAGAAGAGGGGGGGCAAGAAGAGAGAAGAGGGGGGGGCAAGAAGAGAGAAGAGGGGGAGAGAGGAGACGGTGAGGAAGAGAGAAGGGAGGATGGGGCAAGAGAGAAGGGAGAGGGATGGGGCAAGAGAGAAGGCGGGGGAGGGAGATGGAGATAGGGGGGGCGGTGAGGAAGAGAGAAGAAGGCGGGGGAGGGAGATGGGGAGAGGGGCGCGGTGAGGAAGAGAGAAGGGAGGACAGGGCAAGAGAGAAGAGTTGGGCAAGAGAGAAGGGGAAGAGAGAAGGGTGGGAGGGGGGGCAGTGGGGAGGTGTGGGGGGAAAGAAAGGGGGAGGAAGAGAGAAGGGGGGAGTGGGGAGGGGAAAGAGAGTAGAAGGCGGGGGAGGGAGATGGGGAGAGAAGAAGGCGGGGGAGGGTGGGGGAAAGAGATCATGAAGTCAATTCTAGGAACCAACTGAATCAAAAAACGTTCGAGAGATCAGAAGGGAAGTGTTGAAGCAGGATGCAATCAGCCAGTCAATTACTACTATAACACCTGTGGCCCACCGTTGTAGACTTGCATATTGCGCTAACAATCTACAGTGTATATTGTATATCGATATACAGTGGCTATAACATTTAAACCTTCTTGAGGCGACAGCGATCAGATGCCGAGCCTGTCTGTGAGCAAACACGGCAGCAAATTGCATACAAACAGCCATGGATGGTTTGGCCCTGGGGCTAGCCCAATGTACAGATACAACTCACTTACCTTTGACAGAAACCTCACTCCATAGGAGAATATATAGAAATAGAACACAAGTCTCCACCTGCGAACGCAAAACACAATCAGAAAGCAGGGTCTGGTCTCATCCCGAAGTGTAGCCCATCACTCAGAGAAGCCCAATGTGACCTAATCTGACTGTAATAACAACAAATTACAAGGTACAGCGTCCCTCATGTTGGAAAGACGTCCCAACATGCTAACAACAACCTTTGGTATTCTATTATTTCTCTCTAACCCTCCTGAAGGGACCAATATTCCAGGGGCAGGTTGCAAATAAGGGTCTCCCTGCTTTAGAGGAGTTTTTTTTTTGAATGACAGTATGCTAGAATGTTGTTTTACTGGGATAAGGTTTCACACCTCATCCAATCAGTCCCACTCTCCCGCTCTTTCCCCATAACCCTTTTTGAAGTATATATCCAATTCCCCTTTGAAATTTATAACTGAATCTGCTGCCACTACCCTTTCAGGCAGTGCATTCCAGACTAACAACTCGATGGGTAAAAAAATTCTCCTGATCTCCCCTCTGGAAAGATCTGCTCAACATCTTCACAACACACCACAAGGAAGAGGAAATGGAGGCGTACATGCTCTCACTGAACTTGGTGAGCGTGCTGGGTTTATCCTGGTTTCTTCGATGGCGAAACCAGCTCTGGATTTTGCGTACATCCCAGTCAAGCTGCTTCGAGAGACCTTCCAGTCTTCTCTCATCTGGAGACTAGGAAGAAAACAGAAGCATTCATTGTTAATGGAGTCCTGTAGCTCAGTGGTTAGAGCACTCGCCTCGCAAGCGAGAGGACCTGGGTTTGATTTCCAGGCAGGAGAAAATGTTGAGCAAGTTTCCTTACTCCATACCCTTCTGTTTACCCAGCAGTAAGGTAGGAACACGGTTGTTAGTCAATTTGTGGATCGCTTTTCTGGGGGTAATAATTCCTTCAAAAAAATAATAAATTGATCACTTCAATCCACGACTGAGTGTGGGACATTGTCAATTCACAGTCAATTCACTTTACAGTATATTCTGAAGCGCTTTGAGATGTCTCAAAGACATAAGGCATTATCAAATGCAAGGATTACTATTATTATTAAACCTAGTCCTTAGACTTGATAAAAAAGTGACCTAAATTCAAACTGTCTATAAAGCTGGAATCCTGCGATCTTCAGCACAGAGGAGTGAGGAGAAACCAGATAGTTCAGCTGGTATTGAATTCACTTTGACCCACATAGTCATGTATACTGGGCACTGGGAGAAACTTTTATAATAATATGATAATAATAATCCTTGCATTTGATATAGCGCTGTTCACATCTTCTCAATGTCTCAAAGCGCTTCACAGAATATGCTGTCAAGTGAATTGACCGTATATTTGTGGGCAAAATATAATCCTTGCATTTTATACAGCGCCTTATCACCATCGAGCCATCTCAAAACGCTTCACAGAATATTTTGTGAAGTGGATTGACTGTATCTTGTGGGCAAAGCACGGCAGTCAATTGCATATAGCAGTGTCCCACAAACAGTCATGGATTGAGTGACCACATTTTTTAAAAAAAGAACGTGTGTTATGGGATCTTTGATGTCCACCTGAAGGACAGGCAGATAAGACAACAAATTACATTTGTAAAGCGCCTTTCACTTTAGTTTTCACCCCGTCTCATCTAAAGAAATGGCATCTCCAACAACACAAGTGTCAACATGACTGAGCAATAAAAGCCTTGATGTAGGGCTTGAATTCATAACCTTCTGACCTAGAGGTGAGAGTGCCAGGCAGATTGGAATGAAGTAAACATATAAAGGGAATGATCAGCAAGCTATATACTCTGGTACAGCCCTGAAGCGGGAGGTGAATGTTTGCGTTTGCCAGTATCGATCCCCCAAGGCTATCAGGACAGACACAGAGTACGCAAGAGGCAAGGGAATGTACATCTGGTCTATTCAGTACAGCTATCGAACACAAAAATTGAAAAGGATTCTCTGGAAGGGCATTGACGTTACATTTAAAAAGCAAAGCAAATCAGCCGGCAACCTGGACACAAAGCAGCTGCATGTTATAATGGTGGCAGCAACCCATCACAGGACCTGTGGAGTCCTACAGCTCAGTGGTTGGAGCCCTCGCCTCACAAGTGAGCGACCCGGGTTCGATTCCCAGCAAGAAGAAATGTTGGGCAATCTTCCTTACTCCATGCACCTCTGTTTACCCAGCAGTAGGTAGGATCCCGGTTGTTACGATTGGCAGATCGCTTTTCCAGGGGTGGTAATAGTTTTTTAAAAAATTTGGTCTCTCAATCCACATCAAATCATCATCTCTGGCACTGCTTGTGATATTCAGGTGTTTGACTCAGACCCTGGCCCAGACCTACTGTAGTGTGGCCTTGGCATTTAGAAACCCCGGGAATTTTGATAGCACTCTTGCCTCGGAGTCAAAGGTTATGAGTTCAAGCCCCGTACGAGGACTCTTAGCGCCCATAGTCTAGGCTGACGCTCCAATGGAAAAGGAGAAAGCTGCATTGGCAGAGGTGACACTACTTAGAGAGGTGCTTTCTCCCGGGCACCTGGCCAACAGTCCTCCAGTTATTATCGTTATTCAATGTGGTTTGTGGAACATTGCCATGTGCAAACTGGCTGCTGCATTTGGCTACAAAATAGTCACTACACTTCAGTGAAAACTGAAGAGCTTGGAGAGGTTTGAACAACAATGATAAGGCACTGTAACAAATGCAAAGATTATTGTTATCTTTGACTTTGAACAAGGAGAACTTTGCTCCAAGAGTTAAGCTTTGAAGTTTTTTTTTGTAACATAAATCTCAGCGAGATTAGTTAGCAGCCCAACCAACAGCAGGTCAAAGTCTTCACTGAAAAAGCGGAGGACCCGGGTTCAGTGCAGGTCAGGACAAAATCTTAGGCAAGTTTCCTTACTCCACACACCTCTGTTTACCTAACAATAAGTAAGAACCCGGTTGTTAGTCAATTGACGGATCACTTTTTGGAGAGGGGGAGGGGGGTAATAATGCCTAAAAAATGTAATTATAAAAAAAAGTCACTTAATCTACGAAATAGGACACTGCTGTGCGCAATTGGCTGCCACATTTCATCCACAAAATGGATCTTCAATCCACTTTACAGTACATTCTGTGAAGCGCTTGGAGACGTCTCAATGACATGATAAGGCACTATATCAAGTGCAAGAATTATTATTAAATATTAAACTATTATTATTATTAAGGGAAGACAAAGAAAACATCCTGAACAAAAAGCTACTTCTGCACTGAAACAGATTTAAAAATAAAATTCAGCGACTTAATGTAATTTTTTTAAGTGCAGTTAGCAAATAATAATCCTTGCATTTGAGACGTCTCAAAGGGCTGTAAAGTCGATTGACTGTATTTTGTGAGCGAAATGCAACAGTTAATCTGTATAAACCCCAACCCACCCTCGATTATTTTATTTTATTTATTTTGGCAAATCTGAAGGGGTGAGGAATATTGGTCAGGACACCGGGAGAAACAGTCTGATCGTCTTCCAACCTGTGGCAATGGATCTTTTGACATCTAACTGAGCAGATAAGATCTTAGTTTGACTCATTTCATTCCGAAGGACGACGCTTATAATACAATAATAATCCTTTCATTTGACACAGCGCCTTATCATGTCGTCGAGACATCTCAAAGCACTTCACAGGATATACTGTAAAGTGGATCGACTGTGTAAGCGAATTGATTGTATGTTCGGTGAGCTTCCAACAATAAAGTGGTGCATCGCACTGGAGGGTCAACCCATCAAGTAGAGAGAGAAATCAGTGAGCAACACGTAATTTTAGGGGAGAAATAAAACTAAAAACATTCTGGTTACTGAAAGAAAAGCTTTTCAACAGAAAAATAGACACATGCTGAACCTTCAGAGCTGCCACGCTCAAACTCACCTTGGTTATAGACGTAAAGACTTTTTCTAGAATAGCATTGGGATGTGCTTTGCGTGGTCTCGCGGCTTGGATTTGGAGTCGCAAGGCGCATGGTTTGGCAATAAACCTGTTCGTAAAAATAAAAAGAACAGCGGTTTATTCAGACTCGCTCAAAGTGACAGGAATTCTGGAAACTTTCATCCAATTTAAATAATATTAATAATAATCCTTGCATTTGACATAATGCCTCATCACATATCTTCGAGATGTTTCAAAACATTTCACAGGATATACTGCATAGCAACCGAATTTTGTGGGTGAAATGCAGCAGGGTCTCATAAACAGTCATGGAGCGAGTGACCAATTTTATTTTATAATAATAATAATTCTTGTATTTGATTTAGCACTTTCCACTTTTTCTCGATATCTCAAAGCGCTTCACAGAATATGCTGTAAAGTGAATTGACCATATATTTGCAACTGCGCGCAGCGATGTCCCACAAACAGTGGTAGACTGAAAATGACCAATTTATGATTGTTTTGTTTTGGAGGGATTATTATCAGGAGTGTGGAGTAAGGAAACTTGCCCAAGGTTTCGCCCTCTGCCTGGAATTGAACCCAGGTGTCTCGCTTGCAAGGCAAGTGCTCTAACCACTGAGCTACAGGACTATTGCAGGATTGTTGGCCAGCCAAGACACCGAGAGAAAAACTCCCTTCTTTTTTCGAATAGGGTCACGGGATCTTTAACGTCCATCTGGACAGACAAACAGGACCTCAGTTTAACGTCTTATCTGACAGATGGCACCTCCGACAATGCAGCACTCCTCCAGCACAAGTGGGTGAAATCAAAGCAGATCCACTACAAACAACGTAGCGCAAAAACATTGAAATGTTTAGCAGTGAGAGGGGACGATGGACAAGCAGGAGGCAAGAGGAATGTCTCATTCCAGATGTCCTGACAGGAATTTTTAAGTCCTTATGTCCTCCTCTTCGCAGCTTCGCTCACTTCATTTCACACTGTTAGATCTCGCCTACAACTGACGAGACAAAAACTCTTCTCTTTCAGAGGGAGGGGGTGAAAATGGGAAATGTTACGAGGTGGAATAAACTTCAGTTAAGTTTGTGTTTATGGTTGGTACTGGGGGGCAAGAAGTAGCAGAGAGGGAAAGATTAAAACTAGATGAAAAATAACAACAACTTGCATTATATAGCGGGCTTCGAGCAGGGCAGCCTCTCGGAGCACTTAACAGTGGCAGAGCCTGACGCCAAGCCGGAGGGAGGGAGAAGATGACCGTAAGCACGGTCAAGGAGGAAGGTCTTCAGTCGTGGTCTAAAAAAGGGGAAGGTGGGAGAAAGGTAGAGGGATTGGGGGGAGAGAGTCCCAAAGCTTCGGGACATAGCGGCTGAAATTGTGGCCCCTGATGGCGGAGCGGAGGGGACGAAGGACAGACAGGAGTCCAGAACCAGTCAAGCGGAGACAGCGGGTAATGGAGTGGGGAAAATAGAATAGAAAATGGCATCTTTCAATACCTATTTCCTAACTTCTCATCAATGCCGAGCCTGTACAACTGGATGAACATTTGTACAACACTGTTTGGTGAAATGCGTAAGTATTAGGAGTCAGATTAACTCAGTACATGGCTGATGCAAAGCAGATGAGCTTGCAATGGAATTTACCCCAGAATCTCCCAACTGGATCAGGAATGTTTACTGTCAATGTAACTCAAGCCCAAGGAATTTGCAATTCACTCACATGGGAAATCGATGTCTCCATGACTCAGGGCTTTGTGGAAATACCACAACTAACCACCCACCACCAATGTTGCCCCAAATCTTGTGGAGTCCCGTAGCTCAGTGGTTAGAGCACTCGCCTCGCAAGTGGGAGGATCCATGTTCGATTCCTGAGCAGGGCGAAACCTCAGGCAAGTTTCTTTACTCTAAGCGCTTCTGTTTACCGAGCAGCAAGTAGGAAACCGGTTGCTAGTCAATTAGCGGATGGATTTCTGGAGATAATAAGCCCTCAAAAAAAAAATTCCAATTGGTCACTCAATCCATGACTGTTTGTGGGACGCTGCAGTGTGCAATCAGCTGCCGCGTGTCACCTACAAAACACACAGATCCTCTACTTTACAATATATTGTCTGAAGCGCTTAGAGACATCTCAAATGACAGGCTAAATCAAATGTCAGGATTATTATTATCTTTGTAGAAGTATTGCAGTTTCAGAACTCTGATCCTCTGCATTATTAAAATAATAATTGTCGATTTGAGATGGAGCCTACACTGTCAAAACATCTCCAAGGTCAACACAGGCAATTGCCTGTCAAAGTACAATTCACGACCATCTTGGGAGGCAGCCAAATTGCACAGCAAGGTCCTGCAAACAGCCACAAGTAATTGAATAACCAATTTTTCTGGAGGATTACTTGGAGCATATATTGCCACGGATAATTCTCAAGACTTGAAAAGCACGGATCATAATAATAATAATATAATAATAATAATCCTTGCATTTGATATAGCGCTGTTCACGTCGGGAGGACGTCCCAAATCGCTTCACAGAACACACTGTAAAGTGAATTGACTGTATATTTGTGGGCGAACGCGGCAGCCAATTGCGCACAGCAATGTCCCACAAACAGTCGTAGATTGAAAATGACCAATTTATTATTGTTTTTGGTTTTGGAGGATTATTATTAGGCTCTGTGTGGAGTAAGGAAACTTGCCCGAGGTTTGGCCCTCTGCCTGGAATTGAACTCAGGTCTCTCACTTGCTAAGTGAGTGCTCTAACCACTGAGTTACAGGACTCCACAATAATAATAATAATCCTTGCATTTGATACAGCGCCTTATCACATCTTCAAGTCTCAAAATGCTTCACAGAATATACTGTAAAGTGAATCGACTGTATATAAATTTTGTGAGCAAACATGCAGCCAGTGATAGATAGATAGTCCAAAAATCCAAACACTCACTCATCCAAAGGGAGATTTCAATGGAGGGACGGACTGGGGAGGAGGTTGCAATTTAGGAACATAGGAACAGGAGGAGGCCATTCAGCCCGTTGAGCCTGTTCTGCCATTCTATAACATCACGGCTGATCTGTACCTCAACTTCAATTACACGCCTTTGCTCCATATCCCTTGATACCTTTACCTAACAAATACCTGTCCATCTCAGTCTTGAAAATGTGAATGGATCCAACATCCACAACCTTTTGGGGGAGGGAGTGAGTTCCAGATTTCCACTACCCTTTGGGTGACAAAATGTTTCCCTATCTTCTGTTAAACTGAATGTAAATGTTTTGCACAAGTATCTCAGCTCAGACCCTCTGTACTGATGCTCTGTAACATCATAATTTAGTCTTCCCATTACAGCCTCAACTCATTTCACATCAACAACAACAATAAAAATGAAATTTATAGAGCACCTTTCACGTTGGGACGACGTCCCAAAGCGCTGAACAGTCAGGTGTTGGGGCCCGAGCATGGGGTAGGGGTGGTGCAGGGGTGAGGGAAGGCACAGAGGTGGGAGGGTGACAAAAGGCGAGAAGGCTCTTGAGACCGGCCTTGAAGGAGGTGAGGGAGGCAGCGAGGCGAAGGGACCATGGGATGGTGTTCCAGAGTGTGGGGGCAGAGAGGCTGAAAGCCCGGCCACCGATGGTAGGGCAGGTCGGGCGGGAGACATGGAGCAGAACGGAGCCCGATGAGCGGAGGGAGCGGGCAGGTTGGTAGGGAGTCAGCAGGTCAGAGAGGTAGGAGGTGGCAAGGCCATGGATGGCCTTAAAAGTGAGGATGAGGATCATCCACCAACAACAGCATTGTGCCCTTCACACAGGTAGCGTTTAACAGTGGAGGAGCTCGACACCAAGTCAGGGGAGTGGGGTGGGTGGGAAGATGACGAATATTTAAGAACTTGGCCAAGAAACTAACAATTGAAAGCAAGCGATCAGGGAAAGGTTGGGCACAAGTTTATGCACGATTCACAAAGAGCAGCTGTTTATTACTGGAGCTACTGCAGCCTGTGCCAACCCTTGGCGCTTCTTGGCAACGGGTAGGCTCTGTGGGCAAAGGTTAGCTCACCCAGGAGGAGGGGTTTGCTTTCTTTAGTTCTTTGGCTGCAAGCCTGAGGTTAACAGTTCCTCTGCCCCCAGACTAAAGTAACGCAGCAGTCTCCAGACACCTCATCACAGACTGCACAACTCAAAACAACTGCAGCCTTGCATTTTGCAGCAGTTTTTCGACATACTTTTTTTTTTTAAAAATTCCCAATTCGCCCCTCGATTTACACGGGAGCACAAAACACACCTCAACACCTGCCGTCTGTAGGAATGTTGCTGGCAGAGATTAAAAGTCGTTTTGGCCAAAAGAACAAGTCACTACATTTAATTTTAAGGGGTAATAACAATTTTTTAAATAATAATGTGGTCACACAATCCACCACTGTTTGCGGGATACTGCTGTGCACAATTGGCTGCCGTGTTTCACCCATGTTTCACTACACTTTACAGTATATTCTGTGAAGCGCTTTGAGACGACTCAAAGATGTGATAAGGCGCTACATCAAATGCAAGGATTATTATTATTATTGTGTGAACCACTTTGAAAAATTTTGACTTGATAAGGCGTTAAATCAAACAAAAGGTGTTTTTTGTTTAAAAAAGGTATATCCATTTTTATTTCAAATGTTTTTACGAACACTATTTAAGTTCCCTCCCTCCCCACTTTCTGATCCCACCTAAAGACCTCCCTTTCTGATCGTGCTTACGGTCACCTCCCCGCCCTCCCCTCCCTCTCTGGCTCGGCGCCAGACTCCGCACCTGTCGAACGCTCGGGGGACCCTACTTAATAATAATTAATAATAATAATGCATATAGTGAAGGGCATTATACCCATGCAAGCTGTTGTTGTGCAAGTCAATTATTCACATCATTATCCCAGACTTCGAAATGCCTTCAGCTGCAATATTAAAAAAAATTCCCGCTTTTAATTGCAGGTGACACGCTCATGGAATAAACTGAGCGGCTGGTGCAACAGTCGTGTGTACCATTGCTAATTATGGCTTACGCATCTTTCTCTGATTTATGGCACACATTTTGTGCACCTTCCACTGTAAGTGTGAAACTACA